ATTAACCTCATTGAACAGTTTATTTAGACATTTAAACACATCAATAATTGTTTTCAGTAATTTTGCACGTTATATATATTTATTCTTATCATTAAAGCTCGGATTTATAGGCAACAAAAATTGAAGAAAAAGGCGCCTATATAGGCAAAGATTTTTATTAAAAAAGGCAGGAATATTAACATTTAGGCAAAATATAGGCAATAAAGGAATATAACTTATTATTTATTGTACAAAGTAAATTAACGTAATATTAACTTAAGGCAAGTATATTTACACATCATAATCATAACATTAGTATAAATAAACTAGTAACTAAATAACTGTTAATTAATAATTAAACATTGTAACCACTTAAAATTTTATCATTAATAGAAACAACTAAATGTTTTTCAATATTTTCGGTCTTTAAAACTATGTCTTCGATCACTTAAAATTAATTTGTACATTGAAAACGAACGTTCGACATCGACAGATGTAATTGGAGCATATTTCAGAGCGGATAATAAATCTGGCATAATTTGAAATTCCTCGGAAAATGTCCCATTCAAAACTTTAGCAACATTAGATAAAAACGAAAAAACCTTCATTCTTGTCGAAAACATATTTCATTTTTTTAAAAATTAATTGGACCGTTACTTCCAGGTGCCGATTTAATTTTCGTCTTTAAATTATCTATTAATTTTACTGACTCACATAAATTTATCTCTTGTTTTTCTAATAAGGTAATTGTGGTAACTATTAATTTATAATTGTCATTGATATAACCGAGTTCCTGTTTCAATTTGGGATTTTTTAATATTTTTTTTGCTTCTCGAATGGCTTCGGAAATATCATCATCAAATTCTGACATAACTAATTCTATTTCATTGCAGTGTTCAAAGTAAAAAAAGACTGCTTCGAGCCAGGTTCCCCACCTTGTAATTACTGGTTTAGGTGGCAAAGGGACACCGGGAAGTCTTTCTTTATTATATTTTGCACCCTCAAACGGAGCCTTTACATAAACTTTTTTTCATAAAATTTATAAAATTATTTTACCAACGGAAACAGATTTCTTATTTCTTCAGCAATTCTATTTACCCCGTGGGCTACACAAGTGCAATGAATTAAATTAGGATAAAAAATTTTTAAATTAACAGCAGCTTTTAACCATACCATGTGGTCCATATGTATGGAATAAATTCATTTTTAGCGTTATTATGTACTATGTGAAAAAAACCTTAAACAGGTCGATTTTTATTTTTAAATTGACAATTTACAGTATAAAAATATTATACCCTTCTAGCACCCCCTTTGAATTATAAGCACCCCCTCGAAAATTTTAAATGACAAAGGGGGTCGTGTGACACTTTGTTAGAAAGGGATTTTAGTCCTCTGTTCAGCAATATAAAGTTTTTTTTTATTTGTGCAATCATAACTGAGAAAATTGATTTTTACATTTCAATTAAATGTTCAACTTGACTACCATTATTCACTTCTTGACAATATCCGAGGTGATTTTGGAATTCTCGTACAACATTTTGTATGTCTTCGGGGTTATTTTGTTAATTTCTTCCGTTATTCTAACTTTTAAATCAGCAGTGTTGCCTGGTCTATTAAAATATAAATTAAAAATAATCAGGTATTTTCGTATCTGTTTTGCTAAAAATTAGGGAAAAAACTTTGAAGATAATAAAATATTAGTTAAAAAGCCAAATAAACTATTGATATGAATCGAGTAGGCTGCTGTCATCTAGGTATTTAAAGTTAGTAAAATATTTTTGCGCGGATTAAATTTAATTATGGCTCATTTGTCAGAGACTCAAAGAATAGACATTTTAATTATGATTGGTTGTGGTAACAAAACAAGAACTCAAAAGGAGGTTTGTGAAATGTTTAATGATAAATACCCTGGTCAACAAGTTTCACAGTCTACAGTTAGCAAAATTGAAAAGAAGTTTCGTTATTCTGGACATGTAAAAAATATTGACAAACCAGGTAGAACTATTAAATTTACTGATGAAAAAAAGTTAGATGTACTTCTAGAGATTGAGGAAAATCCGCATAAGACAACTCGAGAACTTGCCGCCGTCAATGATGTAAGTAAATCATCTATTTTGAGAATTTTGCACAAAGAAAAATATCACCCTTACAAACTTCAGTTGGTTCAGGAGTTAAATGAAGATGATCCTGATAGAAGGCAAGAATTCTGTGAAATAATGATGGACAGAATGAACGCGGATTTGCAGTTCATAAACAAAATAATGTTTTCTGATGAAGCGACGTTTCATTTAAACGGAACGGTTAACAAACAGAACTGTAGATATTGGAGCAGAGAAAATCCTCACTGGGTGTGTGAGAGTCACACGCAATATCCTAAAAAAGTTAACGTTTGGGCTGGTATTATTAACAATAAAATTATTGGTCCTTATTTTTTTGAGGGCACAGTTGATGGTGAGGTTTATCTAGATTTTTTGATTAACTTTTTAGTGCCTACATTACGAAGATCTTTTCCAGATGGTGATTATCCAAATGAAATAGATCGATCTATTTACTACCAACAAGACGGAGCTCCACCGCATTTTGCACGTATAGTTAGAAATTATTTAAACGAGGTTTTTCCCAATAGGTGGATTGGAAGACGTGGAACGATCGAATGGCCGGCTAGATCCCCAGATTTGACTCCTCTCGATTACTTTTTATGGGGATATTTAAAATCTAAAGTATATTTTAATAGACCAAACAGTATTGCTGATTTAAAAGTTAGGATAACGGAAGAAATAAACAAAATAACCCCCGAGGTCGTACAAAATGTTGTACGAGAATTCCAAAATCGCATCGGTTATTGTCAAGAAGTGAATGGTGGTCATTTTGAACACTTAATTTAATTGTAAATTATATTGAAAAATACATTCTAAATATTATGATATTTATATCTTCATTTAACCTACTGTTTTGTGATAGAGACATTATCAAAATTTTACATCTTAAAAATCAATTTTCTCAGTTATAATGGCACAAATTAAAAAAAAAATTATATTGCTGAAGAGAGGACTAAAATCCCTTTCTAACAAAGTGTCACACGACCCCCTTTGTCATTTAAAATTTTCGAGGGGGTGCTTATAATTCAAAGGGGGTGCTAGAAGGGTATAATATTTTTATACTGTAAATTGTCAATTTAAAAATAAAAATCGACCTGTTTAAGGTTTTTTTCACATAGTACATAATAAAGCTAAAAATGAATTTATTCCATACATATGGACCGCATGGTATATGCCGCAGCATCTGAAAGCATTAAAACTATTTTATTCACTGGTATAGCGTTGGGTAAAAAGAGGTTTGTTAAACTATCTTGTATAAATCGACTTATTGTTAAATTGTTTGTTTTTTTCCAATTCTTTAACGGCAACTAAATAAGGTTTTCTCGCAAAGTTTTCGTTCAAAATTCCAATCATTAAATTAGCTATATACCTGCCGCATACATCTGTCGTTTCATCCACGATAATATACAAAAAATTGCCCTCCAACTCGTGCTTAATTTTTGAAATACATTCCACATAACATTTTTCCACAGTATGTTTTCTCAATGTACTCTCGTCCGGTAAGGATTTATTAAGATATTATTCAAAAAAGCGTTTAAAACTAGGGTTATTAACTTTATATAGAGGAATGTTGGATGCAATCATCATCTGGCATAAATCAAATTTAAATGCGTCTTCCTCCTTTTTTTTTTGAACTGCTTAAACTATCCCGCAGAGATGTTTGGGCTAACTTAGAGGAATTTAATTTTTCCAAATTACGTTTATGAAGTGGGGTTCCACAATGCTGGTCAATAAAGTACTTTTTTCTACTTGAAATCTGAGAATTAAAAAAAAATAATTAGAATTCTAAAACCGCTTTAGAATTTAGTTATGTTGTGGGACGAGAAAAAAAGAAAAAAAAATAAAACTTACCGATTTGCCGCATGGTTTACAAAATGCTCCATCTCCTTCTAGAGAAAGTTCCGAATAAGGTGCGATCCATAGCCTTAATTTAGATGTCATCTTTTCACACAACTGTCTTGAACGTTTTAAAACGTGTTCTTTGCTTTTCGGTATACGCAACAAAACTAAACTAGGATATAGCAATTTGCTAATTTGTGAGTAAACTCTGATACAGTAACCGACTGTACAACTGATAATAAACTAATAAAGCTTAGGGATTTCCAAATAGTTAACCCTCAAGTCTCGATCAGGTACATTTTCCTAGAAATCTATTATATAAACAAACCATTGATATTTTATTATTGACCCAAAATTTTATTATAGAATGGTTTAGTAATAGAATAATATCATGGGTAGTACCATGAAATTTTAAAAAAGGCACAAATAGGCGGAATTTACGAAAAAAGGCAAAAAGTGCAAAAAACACTTATAATAGGCAAAATAGGCAAAAAAAGGCATTTTGCCTATAATCCGAGCTTTACTTATCATCGATAATTCTCTAAAAATTTTTTATTGGTTCTTCATTTACTCCATGACACTTACATTCTCAGATATAATCGTAATGTCTCAAATATATAGGTTAACTGTGATAATTAAATATTGCACTTTTAAAAGTAAATAAAAAATTTAAATCAGAAAATTTTACGATCTTGTGCCAGAAAGATATATTTGATTACTTCCTTTATATTTATATACTCTATTTTGATCTTTTACTCTACAGTTCCATCTCTGAATCAGTAGTATAAGTTAAAGAAAAAATTATATTTGGCAACCAATTTTACACCTTAGTGTATATTGAGCCATCTACATTAGATTGAATTCCGCCACTTGTTGCTGTTTTAAAAGAAACACCCACTGACACACAGGTGTATTCAATTTACCTCCCTCCAACAGCGCAACATATTAAATCAAAAGAAATAACGAGGTTGGTCGATGACTGTACTATATACATTGTTTGGTGGGCTTGGTTAGATTTGGTGGCAGTCAGTTTAATCAAAACATTAAAATAATTTAAAAAGATATGTTTCGGTGATTTTAAAAATGTGCGGGATACAAAGTGTTAACATGAAGATGATGGGATATAAAATATTTTTGTTTTGTTTACTAGCGGTGGGCGTGTCTGGACAGTATGAATGGCAAGCCAGAGATTCCTTTGATGAGATTTCACGTAATATGCAAAGGGTAACAAAAGACAATTGCGAAATCCAACATGTTGGGGACCTTTACTTACCCGAGGAATCGGTATCTCATCTTCCCGACATCAAAGACATTAACATAAATCCAGTGTTCCCTAACAGGACTCTTTTACTCCATTTACACAATACAGCTATGAACAGGGCCTTCTTTTGGTCCTATATACTCCAGAGCAGATTTATTAGGCCAGCTATAAATGATACTTATGACCCTGGCATGATGTATTATTTTCTTTCTGCTGTAGCTGATGTTTCAACTAATAAACACATTAATGCTAGTGCTATTTATTTTTCACCAAATATGTCATATTCCAGCTCTTACAGAGGATTCTTCAACAAAACCTTTCCAAGGTAAATATTTTAAAAGTTTGAAATAATATTTGTTAGCTAAAACAGCCATTACCTTACCTTAATTAGTCATTGTATCATAATTGATAGTTCTAGATATTCCATCTCTTTCTAATAAATTAATTAAAAGAGAATTTACCAATATGATTCATAATGTGAAAGTTACATTATGTTAAGTTTTCACAAATTACAGCTAATTCATATTTTTGTTTTGATATGTGTTTTGTTTATACAATTTTTAAAATATAGGTAGTCATCAATACCTGCCTGTTTAATGTTGTATTTTTAAATTTCTATAACATAATGGAGATATTCAATTACTTTATAAACAATTGGTATGTTAATGTAAATTGTAGGTGATTGATAAAAAATACCTCTAACCAATTGTTACTTGTTGATACCCATATAGTTAATTGATTTTTCTTCTTCTTCTAATAGCGTTACAACTCTTTGTGAGTCTTGGCCTGCTTAACAATGTTCTTCCATTCTGCCCTGTCGGATACTTTCCTTCACCACTGTCTGATGTTCATGGTTTCTTTGCATTGATTGTGGCTAGTTTAACCTATATCTGACTAGGCTAATAAAAATCTGTAATATTTGGTGTTAATATATTTTTCTGATTTGAATGGAATTACTTTTTAATAATATTTGTGATCTAGTTGATCAAATACTACTTCATTTGAAAGGGTTCCCTTAATTAATAACCTTCCAGTAATCACACTTTTTGCACTTTCTTCACATTGTATCAAATGAACTGCTAAATATGATGTAAAGTTGAGTTGCAGAATTGGGTAGTATTTTCAATGTGTTTCTCTTGTATATTTATACTATTTTTTGATGCCAGTGATAAAGGAAAAGATAGTAAAGTCTAATGATTTTCCTTGAAGAGTGTAGGCGCAAAATTTCGGGCCAATGCTATTTAAATGCATTCATTTTTTTTTAAACTTGAGAAAACTAATCAGTATTTTTATTTTATTTTTTATTATTTTTTACGCACAACAGGCCTGTTAAGGCCTAGGGCAATTTTTGTAAACATAATCCTAATATTAACTAATTACAATTATTTTAAACAAAACTTTAACTTAAATATGTATATACAACATTCTTAACTACTCTGAAGGACCTGGTGGACAATATTTCTCCATTCGCTTCTATTTTGTGCTTTTCTTTTCCAGTCCCTCACCTTCACATGTTTTAGGTCTTCCTCCACTTTATTAATCCACCTCGTTCTGGGTCTACCTCTTCTTTTGGGCCGATTAGTTTTCTGGTTATTACTAGTTTGAGCATTCTGTTTGCTTCCATTCTTTCCACATGTCCCAACCATCTGATTCTTTGTGACTTGACGAACTTGGTAATGGTAGGTTCTTTGTATAAAGCCATTAATTCATTGTTGGTTCTTCTCTCCCAACCATCTTCTGTCTTCCATCCTCCGAATATGCGTCTCAGTATTTTCCTTTCCCATCTTTCCAGAGTATCCTCTTCCTTCTTATTTAATATCCATGTCTCACTGGTGTATGTTACTGTGGGTCGAATTACTGTTTTATATATTCTGACTTTACCTTGTCTAGAAACATATTTTGAGTTCAGTAGGGCTCTTAAACTACCTAATTCTTTATTCCCTTTTGCTATTCTGGCTTCCAGCTCCCATTCCTCTTTTCCATTTTCATCGAAAACTACACCCAGGTATTCAAATTTGTCCACCCTTTTAAAACTATAGCTTTTACCACTTACAGACCTCACACTAAAGTCTTCTTTTTTCCTTCTGTTCCTCCCATGATCATATATTTGGTTTTGTCTTCATTTAGTTCCAATCCGAATTTTTGTGCTTCTTCGATGATTTTCTTTACAACTCTTCTTAATTCTTTCTCTGTTTTTGCTAGGATCGTTAAATCATCAGCAAATGCCAAGCACTGGTGCTCATTTTTCATGATTGTTTCTTCCACCTTCATGTTGCTTTTTCTAATTACAGTTTCTAACACTAAGTTGAATAATGTAGTGGATAAAGGATCTCCCTGTCTCAAGCCTTTTGCAACCGTAAATTGATCTGATCAATATTTTTAGCAAATTTAAATGCGGAATGAAGGATTATATTATTACCGAGGGCTGAAAGTTCCTGAAAACTTCTATAATGTTTATTTTAGTAAGTTACAGGAATGAAAAAGAAGAGAAAATTAACTGTGATTTTTAATTTTAAATATCTCATTCAAAAGAAACTTTTTATGTATTCTAAGGGACTTTCGACTCTCGGTAATAATGTAATCCTTCATTCTGCTTTAAATTTTTCTAAAAATATATATTAGTTTCCTCAGGATTCGAAAAAATAAATGCATTTAAATAGCATTGGCCCGAAATTTTGTGCCTTCACTCTTAAATTTTACCCCATTTATACCACTTCTAATTCCATTTTCAGTCTGGCTCTACATAATATAAGATAAAAAGTAGTTACATCTTCAAAAGAGCAATAGGAAAATTTTGGGAATATTTCTGCCACCTTTAAATGGATTTAAAAGGAAAATCCTTTATTGCATTGCAATTATGTCACATATTTCTGTGAAAATGAATCATTCTATATTTTCATCAATTCTTCTAGACTCAAATATTTTTTCAGTATAATCTTATTATAATATTATCAATTTGATCACTTATATTGTTGCTACACTTGAAGTTTGTATATTACAAAGACTCCAATTTAGTGAGAAAGTTTAATTTCAAAAAATTAGTTAAGATTCCTTCTGTATCTGTGTGGTATTAATGAGTATATCAAATCAGCTGATTGGTTAGTAGTATGGTAAGAGATAACATTCAGTAAAGACAAAACCAATAAATTTATAATTTTTTCTGGCAAATAAAGTTCCACAAGTACTTACTTCTTTCATTTGTGTTTTTCGCATGAAATTAATATCATGTGTATTTATTAATATTTAAATTGTTTAATTTTTATTGTGAATTCTCAACTGCAATTAATCCCCAAAGAAACAAATATTTACTCATTCTTGTTTTATATAAATCAAAAATTGCAGAATTCATAACATAATATAAACAAACTGTACTTTTCTAGAACTTGTTTCTTTTTATATTTGAAGCATACAGCATCTACATTATAAAAATATGCCAACACTGTTAAACCAAAATTTTTTGTTCCATGTGACATTTGCGGCTATAATCAGTTTGTACTTTCGGTAAACTCAACCAATGAAGCTTATAAAACAAGGAAATTGGTTTTTATGGTTTTTATTATTACTGTAAATTTAATATTAGCAAAGTTATGCTTAATAGGCTTAAAGATGGTGCTGAGCACATGCGAAAAAAATGTTCAACAGTCATATCTCATTTAATTTTTAGTCAAAGGAACTAAAAAAATCGACATTTTCAGTAAAAAAGCTGTTTTTTGTATTCTACCATTGTTTCTGTATCTTTTTAGTTGTTGAGTTATTTTGAAAAAAGGGGATTTTTTGAGAAATTCTAAAAATAGTATCTTCACTTTAAACTCGTGATTTTTTCAAAATTAAACCATATAATTAACTCAGTTAAAGGTTGAAATTGATACATAACCAGTAGTAACGCAGCAAAGGTGTTAAACTTCCAGAATGTAATGTTTGTGTATAAATGATGAAGTAAATTGTAAATGAACAAAGAATAGTTTCAACCAGGGTAATTTCTGGTGGGAGTGAGTTTGTTACTTTCTACATCACAAAAAATATAAACCAACTTTATTTTAGTTATAACTTACCTTAATTTTCATGCAAATCACTTTTACCAGTGGTCATTTTAAAGGTTTTTAAGATCTTTAAAAAAGTTTCTGTAAGTTTTCCATGAAAAACTTTCTGATTTCCGCTTATTCATTATCATATGTTTGGATTTTTGTATTTGACAAATAAAAGTCTATTTCAGAACAGCCATACCTTTGTTAATATTAAGTTTACAGTAATAATAAAAAATGAATCTCTTCATTTTTACGAATTTTATGAGCTTCATTTTATATCCAAACAGTTGTCCCAATGAAATTTAAATTTTTAGAGTTATTCACGAATAACTTCCAAAATATTAACTTAAAAAAAAACAACTCAAAAGAAAATTTTTGTCTTCAACACATTAAATGCCACGTGAGTTGTATTTAAGTCATACCCTGTTTGGACAAGGTGTTATGTGAGTTAAACATAATTCCACGTTGGTTAAGATTCTCGACTTATAGCTTGAAATAAAAAAAAAATTAAATTAGGCAGTTAATTTATTAAATCCACTATTCTAGAGAATACCGTGGTGTTTTTTTATAAACTTTTTCACCCTAGAGTTAAGATGGTAACCACACACTTAAGAGAAGCAGATATTGGCATAGGGACATTTTGATCTTTGTCAAAATCGTTGACCTACTGTCAAAATTTCAAGCATATCCATGCATATAAAAAGAATTCTGAGCATAAAACTGTCATTGCTGGACTATTGGGGTTACTTTTGGTTGAACTTTGGAATGGCCTAGGCCAAAATAGCATTTAAAATCTTATTTTAAACATAATTCGCAGATGTCAGGACTTGATTAGAAGCAGAGGTAAAAATACCCAATATTAGGGTAAAAAGATTCTTAGCATTTGTTTCCTATGGAACATAAAACTAATTAAAAATAAGTAATTTTTTCTTTTCTCAAGATTTGGGCTGAATTTGCGCAAGACATTTTGTAAAAATTATTTCTTTGAAATTACTTTAATAGCACTTCTTGAAATATGATATTTAATTTATTAATTCGACTTTGTTAATTAATAAATTAATACAACTATCAATGGTGCAATAATTTCTTATACCAATTACATTATATTTTTAATTTCTTTTATTGTAGATTTGCACCAAGAGCCTTCAGAGCAGATGATTTTAATGACCCTATTCACTTGGAACGAATATCAACATTAAATACATTTACAGTCCATGATTTGGGTGCTATCAAACCTGATACAAGTAATGATTACACATCTGATTATTATCGTATAAATGAATGGTACAAACAATGGTTACCAGATCATGTAGATAAAAGACATGATACAAAAACAACATACCAAGTGGAAATTCGATATGCTAACAATACAAATGAAACATTTACATTCCATGGGCCGCCAGGTGCAGATGAAACACCAGGGCCTGTTAAGTGGACAAGACCATATTTTGATTGTGGAAGATCAAATAGATGGTTAGTGGCAGCTGTTGTTCCCATAGCTGATATATATCCAAGACATACTGGATTTAGACATATAGAATATCCCACGTAAGTGCATTGATTAATTTTTTGGATACTTATTATTCCCTATCTTTAAGTGAATGATCATACTCTTGAGATAAGAAACACATTTAACCTTCCTAAATTGTCTCAGAGGTGATCCTAAGCTGATATGTCTCAAATTACTCAATTCGAAGATTGACTATTATAATCTGTGTTTAAGTAATTTTAATATGCCTTCGACATTTACTCAGTTATTTCAAAATTTTACAGTTCAGTTTCATAGGTGTAATTTTGGTAAGCATTCTCCAATGAACAGAATGATTCTAAATGGTAATAAAATAGACCTTGATTTATTAATATGTGCTTTGGAGAATAATTGTAAACCAAGTATAAAGCGATTTTTAATTTTTTTAATTTGGAATTAGTCCAGGATATGATGGTAAAAATAGTAGAATAGGGAACACAAACTTTAAAGAATTATATCTCCTTTAATTTTTAGTCTATATAAATAAAAAAAATCAAAATCATCAGAAAAAACAGTTTTTTTGTGTTCTAGCACTTTTTCTGTATCTTCTTTAGCTGTTGACTTGTTTTGAAAAAGAGGATTTTTTTTGAGAAATTTTAAAAATAGTGCCTTTACTTAAAACTCGGATTTTTTCAAAACTTAACCTAAATCAGTTGTAGTGTTTGCATGTATATTATTATTATTATACAATATTGAGCCAAACCAGAGCTTATGTGGCCCAAATTACAAAATATTTGTAGGTACTAAACTAAATATCAAAAATCAAATAAACAAAAAATCAAATGTAACAAAGTATAAATAAAATAATATCCAAAAGAATTAGTACTTAGAAAAAGTTCTGGCAATAACAGCAAATTAAATACAAAGGATACATAAGATTACAAAATTTATTGTAATGAAGAGAAATCATATCAAATATATCCTTACCACTTTAACAGTTGAAAAAAAAACAAAAGATACAAACATAGTTAACATAAGACTAGGTGCAATGTCCTGTTAGCTTTCATCATTGTTTTTGAAACTAATTAAACTAGTAGCTTCTACTATGTCATCACTTAAACATTCCCTTTATCAAAAACTCTGGTTAACTAAAAAGTTTTGTCTTGCAGTGGTTTTGAAAGACTCCTTTTTCAGTTTATAATTATGGCCCCCCAATCTGTCATTTTCGTTAATACCAAAAAAGTTTTATGTTCTTAAAAAATCCCCCTAAGAATTCCATATTTATGTAGATATGTCATACTCATGTATGAGTTAACAGAGACACATTGAGCTTTCTTGGTTGGGTTTCATATTTTAATCTGTCATAATTAAGGTAGTTTGGAATACTCAATGAGTCTTTAATGCGTTGGTTTCCCGTGGCCGTGGCCTTCCGTATCCTTATGCTGTTGACCATCCCTTGATGTTGCTTCGTCTTTGAGACTGTTTTCTCAGTCTCTAGACAAAAACCCCGTACTCTCGAAGCCGTTGGCCAGTAAGTATTCAGTGAAATTTTCGTTACATCTGGCTACCCTCGCTTAGTTTAGCCTACAGACCAATGCAGTTGCCCACTGTGTGACATGTGGAGTCATAAGTGAGAGTTATCCATATGAGGACCATTATTAAGAACCATTTTCTGTTAATCACGCTCGATGTGGTCATTCCAAATTAAAAGTACTATTTCTATAACACAACATTACACCCCTGCTTAGAATATAGAGGGTATATTTTCAAGTGAAGTAAAATCATTTTAATTTCCACCACTACTGAATATGCATCCACTTGACATTTCTGCACTTTTGGTCCTGTTTGTATGCCTGGTCAAAATGGTATACCATCTCAAAGGTCCGAATAGCTATGGCACTGGAAGAAGAAGAAGTATGCCTTGTATAACTCTGCAGTCTAAACTGCGAGTCTAATATTACCCCAAGGTACTTTAATTCACTCGCCAAATTTAGATTTATGCCATTTAGGCTTAGAGCACCCGATCTCTAAATTTCTCCTTCTGGTAAATGTCACGATTTTGGAGCACGCAGTTTAATTTGTCAGGATAGGGAAAAATTAATGTCTAATTGATTTGTTTTTAATGTAATAATTTTCCAAGGATTTTATCATTATAATTAATTTTATTGAACAAATTTGAATTTTATTTATTTCTTTCCACTACTGTTTGTTATTGAACAATAGACAAACACGAATGTATTTCTGAACTCAAATAAGAACTGTACTTAATTAAAATTATTCAGATATTTTAATTATCAAATTCAATATTTTTTAATTCTTAATAAAAATGAATTTTAATGAGACATATTTTAAAATTATCTTTATCGTTTCCATAACTATTTTATTTTGTTAATTTTAGTGGCATATTGTTTATCTTTGGCCAAATATTAGTAAACTTTATTTATTATAATAGTGTGGTAATAAAAATAAAAATAGAGATACAAAAAAGTATTTATTGGTGGTTATGAGAATGTCAATGGCTTATTATTTTAATTAAATTGGAAAACACTATCACAAGCGATATAGTTGTTTTGTTAGGATCACGAACTTTAAAAATAATTCTACATATACGAAAAAAATACGTTTTTGAAAAATAATATGATTGTTAATTTAAGCTATGTATTGCGGCATTGCAGGGAGATAGAAAGACTGCAGAAATGTCAAGTAATTGGCTACAAGAAAATACTCAAATAAATATATAAAAATAGATTTTATTGTTATTTTAATTATGTAAAAATGATTTACTAAGCTACATCAGTATTTAAAAGATTGACACAGTTGAAATTATAATTCACAATCTCTAAAAATTTAACTTGCAATCATGCAAAAAACGTTTAACCCTCAATTCAAGCAAAAAACCACTCAATGTAGGGTCAGCTATTTTAAGTTTATTTTTCAATAAACACTCAATCCTGTATCAACCCACATTGGCGCCATAACAGTTAAGCAGGAGATTAGAGAACCGTCGTTATATTCTATTATTTGGTTAATAGTTTTATACTATTAAACTTGATATATTAAAAAACCATTAAAGCAGATGGAAATTGGCAAAACTTTAAAGTGAACATAAAACTGGAAGTGGAACGCAAGAGGTGGGATGCTGTTTAAGGAAATACATGAAGGATCATATTAATCCACCTGTTAAAAACATGGTTCTGTCGTCAGACTGTTGTGGTGATCAAAATCGTAATATTAATCTTGTGATTTATTATTATCAGACAAATTATCAGACTTACTGACCTGATGTGATTAAGTATATGTAGATTTATTTGTTTATACATATTACTATCTTCTACTTCTACCATCAATAAAAAAAACCAAAGCGCCATTACCTACGTTTTATATTGACATAAAAATATAGACACATGTATGGACACTTACAACCCGGTATTAATTATGCTCAGGTATCAAGGAATCAGACACAAGTAATATTAAATAATGCAGCAAGCGCACCAACGGAAATACGAATGATATAGATGAACTTAAAAACATGTTAAAAAATCTTATGGAACAGATGGGAACAATACTAAATCTTACCAGTGTCTTGACCAAATTAACAAAGTTATTAAGTTTCTTAAAATAGCTGTATTGAATGCCAACGGGCTAGCAAAACATGCAACCAAAGTAAAAGCTTTCATTATAAACGATAATATACATGGACGTATATAAAACGTCCATGATAATATAGGTATCATGCTTGTTTTTGAAACCCATTTTACACATCGAAGCTATTTTAAACATTCGAATTACACAAATCATCCAGATGGTACGTCACACGGAAGAACCGCAATTATTATTAGGTCGACAATCAATCATCACGAACTAAACCGATATTCAAAAGATCACATACAAGCAACTAATATAAGCATAGATGACTTATGGTTCATTTACAGTTTCTGCAATATATAGCCCAACCAAAGCACTCAATAACTAGCGAACAATATGAGCAGCAGTTTACTACACTTAGTAGCATATTTATTGCTGCTGGTGATTATAATGCTAATCATACACAATGGGGCTCTAGGTTAATAACACCAAAAGGTAGACAACTATTAAAAACAATAGAAAACATCATCAATGGGTGAACCAACCTATTGGCCAACCGACAGAATTAAAATCCCTGATCTTGTTGACTTGGGTAATGGTGGTTGCCTACCAACGAAAAGACCTGTTGGGTCTTTTGCTGGGTCTTTGACTTGTTGGGTAATGGTGGTTGCTAGGTACATTAGTTTCGGAACACACCTATACCTAGTCACGTTCAGCTGTCTTCTTAAATTATATTCCTGTCACCTCAGCCAGTTGGTCTGTGTCGTTTTAACTGACAAGTACCACGTGTTAAAAATCGAGCAGGGAGATATGTAGTCCCTATAGTAATTAAAATTTATCCATTGTCATCGACCTAGAGTCACAACATAATTAAAATGTAACATTTGGAATTATGTAAACCCATATTTGGAGGTCTTACCGATAACTTTATTGTTAGCTTTAATTACACAATGCACTGAGAATGATCTGTTTAGATCGAAAACGTTATGCTAGTACTTAAAATTTTGACACTTTTTTAAAAAGTTTTAACTATTTGTTTTTTATACCACAATACAAGTGTGAAGTGTTTTAACTTCTGTGTTTTTTTACCAAGAATAATGTTTACCGTTGGATTCCGTCGTCGCTTAACAGGCATGAACAAATTATGCTTGCGCGTCTACGTCTAGGACATACCACTCTTACCTTTTCACAAAGAATAACCCACCCATATGTGATCAGTGTAACGTTCGATTAACTGTTGAACACTTTTTAATAAATTGTGGTAAATATGATCAATAAAGACTTAACTCGAACTCTCTAGAAGAAGCACTAGGTCAAGAGTGTTCCTATGATAATATAATTAGATATCTAAGACCTATAAACATTTTCTATAATGTGTAGTTATTCAATTTTGTTATTTATATTTTGTTCCGTCGCTAATAACATTTTGGTGGATGCGACTTGTATTCTAATAAAAAAAACTAATGCAGGCGTATTGTAAAATTAAGTTTAAAAACCTTTTATTATTAAAAATAGTTTTGTTTCTATTACTTCAATTAAAAAAACCGTTATAAATCAGTCTCGTTAACCAAGTGCATTCCTTTTAACAAAATTGCATAGCCTCGAGAGAAATTTAATACCCCTTCATGTATTATCTACCCTCGATTAATTCATTAATGGGGTGTATTTTATTTTCATGCGCGCATATTAAATGTCACCAGGAAATTCTTGGGTGGGTGTATTCGGTTTCAACAAACATTTACAATGCTTTCTATTTTATTACACAATTTTTTTTATTTCCTCTTATTTCGAATAAATCAATTTGGATGTGAATGTGTATTATAAGGAATACAACTTTGCTGATTACGAATTTGATGTCAAAATTGAAAAATTCAAAATGACCGATCGAATATGGCGGACCAAATTTCATATTTTTCGGATTATTTGGACATGAATAATTGCTTCGGTTAAGTAACAATGATGCGAAGATTCTGTACTGATGTTCCAACATTTTTGTTCCTTTACTATGTGGAGTACAAAGAAACTCATAAATCTCAGAAATAAAATGATAACTATACGTTTATATCAGTTTTTAAACATTTCATAGACATTTACATTTTATTATTTAATTTTCAAAGTTATTTATTACTGGAATAGTGGGCAGTAGTACGGGTTTCCAAGTTATTTTGAAAGTCAATTAGCTATACTTTATAGAAATATTGGACAACGCGCCTAATGCGGCATAATACATAACTTTTCGATTAATTGAAAGAAAATTTTCGTTTTATTTTTATTATGTTTTTGTTCAGAAATTGTTAAACTATTGTTACTATATTTTTACAGGCGTAAAGCATTGAAAAACAAAGTACATACGTGGAGAAACATTATCTCAGTATCCAAACAGTTTCTATGATCGGACTTCAAAAGTGCCAACCTTTCCATAAACAACTTAATAGTCGAAAATATCTATAAAAACTTTGTTCCCAGGACTTTTGGCTATGATTTCAACATTTCGTCCCACTGGTGGCGTATTGTGTCTAGTTTAGCATAGAATAAGATGGTTAGGACATGTTGTCGAGACTTAAATCGCCCGATATAAAGAATTGCTGATTTGCAAGTTCCTGGGATGAATAGGGAAGAAGACTTGGGGAGATGCGCTTAGGTGGGACATGTCGGTAAAGCGGATTAATATTTTTGTGACCCAAAATAGAAACTTGAGTAAAAATATAATATAAATTTTAGTAAACATGTTATTAAGGAAGCCGACCCCGCGTAGAGATAAAGGGAAAGAGAATAATAATTTTTAAAACGTTAAACTATGCCTCCCATGGATATTAATCTGTTAATTTATTTCAGATACACAGCTGTATCTGTGGTTGAGATGGAATTCGATAGGATAGATATTAATCAATGTCCACCAGGTATGGGAAATAATGGACCAAATATCTTTGCAGATACGGCTAGGTGTAAAAAGGAAACGACAGAGGTAAAAACTGAACTATACTTAACTTTTTTCTTTCTTCTCTATTAATTGGTTATTGAGATCCTTACCTAAACAATAGATTTTGTGACTAATAGTGTAGTTCTGAATCTAATTTATTGTGCCATTTTTATATTACTATATTTTTTTTTGATTTATAGATATAGCTTCGTAGATATAACTTCGAACTGCAGAATATCTACAAGCATACGTTTGGTGGTAAAGATATTACCACTATAATTAAGCGAAACCGCCTGCAGTGGGAAGGACATGTAGCCCGGGCCCCTGAATCGAACATGATAAAAAAGATTCTAACAGCGCAACCTGTGGGAATGAGACGACGGGGTAGACCAAAGCTGAGGTGGATGGATGGGGTAACACAAGATGCGGAGAAGATCGGAGTCGGCAACTGGAAAATTCAAGCAAGGGACAGAACAGAATGGCGTAGAAAGCTTGAGAAGGTCGAGGCCCTCTAAGGGCTGTAGCACCAAGATGATGATGATGATGATATTTTTTTGAAATAAACCACGAATTATAACTAAAGTATCTTTATAATTAGAGTAAGAGTAATTATCTAAAATCTAACCACACTCCAATCAGGCATCTTATCGATAAATTAAATCTCACCCAAAGTTGCCTACTTAAATATAAAATTAAATTCCATATACATTTCAAAAATAATACAGGTTTATCTTCCCTACAACGCAACACAATGACAAGAAAGTAGATACATTCGACGAATAAATAATATCCGCAACCAATAAATATCCTTCTGACTTATTCATAATATGGGAGATTTCAAACCCAAAATTGGAGAATCAAAGAAGACCCATTAGAAACATCACTAGGAAACTTTGGAAGTGAAAGAAGACACGATAGAGGCAAAAAATAATCTGTATCCAGTGAATAGCTTCTAAAAAAATACACAGACACTTGTGAAAGCCCAAACGGAAGGAAAAAAAAAGAAATTGATTTTTTTTTTAATAAAAATGAAAAAAAAACTGAAATAACAAGCTAAAAAGAAATCAGGAGATACAAAGACGAATTACTAACCATAGCTGAACAATTCTACACAGACCTTTAGAGGTAAAAAACAGACAAAAATACACCGCTGCAATAATGGCAAAAACAGGAATATTAAACAAAGGATTAGATTTTATATCCAATATAACAGAATCAGAAATCACATATGCATTAAAGGAAATTAAAAATAGTAGAGCTCCAGTACAGATGAAATTGTGTACGCAGTAGTGATGTAACAAATGTCATTTTTTAAACATTCGCGAATGCGAATATATGCCACCGACATTCGCGAATGCGAATGCGAATATTCAGTTTTTTTTTTAATTTGGCAATTTTAATTGTCTCCGGCACTGCCGGTAGTCTCATTTGCGCGAGGTGTGTAGGCAATTGGAAAAAGTCTGTCATTTTTAACTGCTTTAAATTGTCCAGTATCATTCTATCATATTTGCTAAAGTAAAGATGTGAAACAGTTGTATTTATTGTAAAGAAGTTTATTGTAGGCGGTTAAGTTTATTGAGGGGTCGTTTAAAAAGGTATTTATTTATAATCACGTTCGGGCCAAAAACGCAGAAAGCACGTTTTTCGATCTAATTTTCTCTTGTTATAATCAAATTTGACCTGTTATAGAGAGAAAGTTATAGCAGAGAACTAAGTTCTCTGGTTATAGTTCCAATAAAAATTTCACGGGACACAAGTCACTCCACTTGCCCTGCTCTGCTCGTGCACAAATACAAGTGAATTTTTAGTTAAAGTGTGATTAGCGATTTATTACTATGAGTAAATCAAATTATAGTGAAATATGGACTTATTTTTCACCATTTTTCGATACTGAACGAGCTAAATGCAAGCTGTGTAATATTCGCAAAACATTCGCACAAATTTTACGAATGCGAATGCAAATGCGAATATGCAAAAATATGCGAATATTCGCGAATGCGAATGCGAATATTCGTTACATCACTAGTACGCAGTCGCATCATTGTCACCAGCGCCACCTCTTTGACATATATATCTAGAGGCGTGATGCCAATGACCAACTCCATTGCAGCAGTTGGTGTTGTTTTCATGGAACCTGTTATATTTATGTTATGTTATATTTATATGTTATATTTATGTGTTATATTTATGCAAACCATCCGCTGAATATGGTTTAGTTTGTTAATCGCTGTTGCCTTTTTTTGGTATCCAAGCACTTTTGGTACCCAAGTAAGAGCTCCGTAAGCTACCATTGGCCTAACGACAGCAGTGTAGACCCATGCGATTACCCTGGATGAAAGGACCCACGTGCGTCCGACGCTTCGTCGACATTGCTCATAGGCAATATACCGTGGGCTTACTGCAAAAATCCGTTAAGTTCGTAATTGTTTGTTTCGAGAAAATTAACTTTTAATGTTTACTGTCTCAATAAAACTAAACCATTAATTTCTTATGATTATTAGGTGAAAAAAATTAAAGTTTGAAAGTTGATATATTTTGGCAATACATGTTTTGCTCACAATATTATTATTGTTTATATAGGATGCTAAAAAACAAAAAAAAATATAGGACTTAAATGATTTTGGCAGAATAAAAATAGCAAAAATGTATTTAATAGTTTAATCTTAAACTAATGCAACAACAATTTTATAGCATGTATTAACAACAAATTCCTTCAGTCTTCAATATCTTCATCACTGTTGGTTGAGGAAGGAACTTCGTCTACAGCTGATTTCGATGTTGGCAAAGATTTGTACCAACCGTGAAATTCTTCTGGGATGTCTCCTTTACGACACAGTTGCAGCAGGCTATTTTTTTTTCTTCCCTGTTATTGGAATTATTTTTGAATGTAAATTTTGAAGGGTTATATTTTCAAAAGAGTTTGGAGGAGTTTTACCAAATACTTGAATTACTTTGAACTCTGAAGTATGGTCTCATACCTATACTGAATTACTCCTGATTTGGTTTTTTCATATTTTAGACACTTGATTTTAAATATTAAACCAATCCTGAATGGTATAAACTGGAACGTATTTCTTTGCTTTCTCTATAGCACTGTGCATACTGTCTACCTCCATAAAGGTGTGGCCACTTTCGAGGAACTTATGCTCTATGATTTCTAGGTTTGAAGTTTGGACCAAATATAAAAATAGTGCTGCAACATTTTGGTTGCGGTTTTGTCCGCCACAGGTATCAGAATACAAACAGAGCTGCTTTATTTCAGGTTTCATTTGGTTAATATAATTAAGTAAGCAACTACCTAGTTCTGAACTGCCTCTTTTTCCTAGTAACTCTGTCCATCCATAGCAAAAGGCATCATTTGGTTCACGTAGCTCATAAATGGTAAAATTATACATGCATACTTTAAGACTGTAATACATAGAACTGACGTCACTCGAAGGTATTTGTAACACTGATTGCACATCAAAGCTACAACATATAAATTCTTTTTCTACTCTCTTACTAGTAAATTGTATATTACCTACTATTTGGATGCTAAGTAAATGCATCATAACAGATACTGACACGTAATGACTAGCACGTAATAAAAAAAATTACGCTTCAGTTCTATAAAAATGTGTAATATCACATAAGCCTTGTAAGTCAGTTGGTCGAGTTACCATGGAAACGAATTAACAGGCGTTATTTTGACAGATTAAAAATTATTAATCTGTCATTGTCAATATAGTGGTAATTTAATTTTAATTTTTATAAACGAAAATAATGGTAGAAAAAGTATAGTACACAACTTGAGTTGTAAGCTTATTACATGCTTGTAAAATTACTGCGCTCGCCGCTACGCGGCTCGCGCGCAACTTTTTTACTCGCATGTAATAAGCTTCTTACAACTCTCGTTATGTAATATACTATTATGCTGCTGACATTTCTCTTTATCATCTGCTTTCGCATTCATACACTCTTCCTTCCGCATAATGTGTTGTACGTAGTCATTTTCTAAACAACTGCTTCTCCGGGCCCACTTTTAAGGAATTATATTTAGTGCAAAGCTGGGATTGATCTTTTTTTGGCTTATAGAAGGACAAGTTGTATTGGTACAAAAATCCTTCTGTAGGTAATTTCGCTTACATGTTTTACATTTTCATTTAAACATTCTTGTTTATATAAATTGTACATTTTCGTAATGCTAAGTTGAGGATCGACCTACAAACGTTTAGTTTCTTTTCTGTAATAATGAGATTCCATGGTAGGAAACTTTTCTATATGATTGTTCACTCTTTCTATATTTTCTTGGGCTGTCTTGTTATGTGGAGTTTTACATACCCGGATTTTTTGCACATCATTATTTAAATAGTAAATTTTTGTATCGGTTCTTTTTTTCCTTGAACTCTCTGTTCGCACTCTTCTCCTTAACGGTGGTATACTTTCTGTTGTTCCTAAAAGAAACTTTTTTTGCTTTAAATATTCACTATGCCAAAAGTAGTACTAGATAATACAGAAATTGAACAAATATCTTTGTACAAATACCTTGGAGCATGGATCACAGAAGATACTGATCAGACAAAAGAAATAAGATGCCGCATTGAAATTGCGCGGTCAACTTTTAATAGAATGAGAAAACTTTTTTGTAATCGCGATATAAATATATCGCTCCGGATAAGAATGCTTCGATGTTATATTTTCTCTACCCTCTTGTATGGAGTTGAAGCTTGGACACTTAAAAAATCCAACATTAAAAACCTAGAAGCATTCGAAATGTGGTGTTACCGACGCATTTTGAAAATATCATGGATGGATCGCAAAACAAACGAACAAGTTCTCGAACAACTAGGAAAACAATGCGAAGTTTTTAAATTCCATAAAGATCAGGAAATTGGAATACTTGGGGCACATCATGAGAGGTGAAAAGTACGAACTACTAAGGAACATAATGCAGGGTAAAATCAAAGGTAAAAGAAGCGTAGGAAGACGTAAAATCTCGTGGCTACGCAATCTCCGTGAGTGGTTTGGATGCAGTTCAATTGAACTATTCAGGCGAGTAACCAATAAAATTATAATTGCCAGAATGATTTCCAATCTCCGATAGGAGTGGAACTTGAAGAAGAAGAAGAATGCCAAAAGTTGTGACAAAGTGATTTTCTAAGTTCTTCTGAAAAATGTGCATTGCATTGAAACCGGCATTTTTCGCAGTTTGATACTTTGGTGCCTTGGATTCAATTTTCTATTTTTTCTTTAAATTTCTTGTCTATTTTGAAGGTTCAGCTTTCTACCATCGACCTCTTTTTTGCGTAATTTTTGCGTAATCTGCTAATTGTTCATTTATTACATTTTCTTCCTTACCTGCCTTAGTACTTGAGACATTTTCTTTATCAGTACTTTCACTATCTGATGAAGGTTCGTAATGTGGATCTTGAATTGAACAATCCGAGTCAAAATCTTGTACTTCAGAATTATCTGAAACAACAGAATTGTAAATTTAACATCCTACGAGTTTCAAAAGTATACTAATAGAACATTATCTAAGTTTTTACTTAGCTTCTAGCTAAAGTAATGGCCTACTAAATTGGTAGGTATTGATTGATAATAATAATTAGTTGCAAATATCAGCAAGAAAATATTATGTACTCTGTTTAATAGATCTTTTAAAATAAAAATACATAATTTTAATCAAACATAACCTTACTCTTAGAAAAATTAAAAATAATATAAGAATCCACTATTAAATACATACCCAAATTATGGTTCTCCTCTTCTAATGCCATTAACACTAATTTTTATATCTACTTTTGCCACTTGTCATCATTTTATTGACTAAAAAACTATAAAACTTAGCAAAGTAACACGGTGAGGTTTATTCGTTAGCATTAATATTGAACCCAAAATAGTCTGCCAAAACAAGTTAGGTGTCCTTATGTGATTTTTGCTGCATAGGCTATTCCCCGAAAACATTGTGATAAACAGCAGAAATCGTTTAAAATGCCTTAACGGTTTTTAGCTGTATTACATTGCATCATGTTAGTAAATATATTTCTGCAACATCGGCTATGTGCTCTTAACGGATTTTCGTAGTAGCTTTTGTATTCTAGGTCACTATTATTTTACAATGTAAACCTTTTAAATAAACATAACGGATTTTTGTAGAAGATTTTTTTTCTTATAAAAAATAATAAAAGTAAGATCCATTTAAAGTAACTTAAAGTATATTGCTTGTATAAGATTGTATTATAAGGTAGTTAGTACATTTTGGTCACATTTAGTATTAACGTTTAGATAAGTGCTTTCACTAAACGGGTTTTACCAGTAGATAGTTTCTCTCTTTCTAATACTCTCTATGAACAAACCCGAAAAATGACCAAACATGGACTTAACAGATTTTTGCAGTAAGCCCACGATATGCTCTTTTAGCTCTACTATCTAAGTGTGAGTTCCATGTTAACTTTCTGTCAAGGGTAATACCAAGGTATTTCACCTCGTCAGAAAAGTTTAGACTGTAGTTTATAATCCTCGGGGTATTAAGCCTGCGATTCTTCTTTTTCTGGTGAAAAGAACCATCTCTGTCTTCTTAGGATTTATAGATAGTGAGTGTTACTTGCACCATGTTTCTATTAGTCGGAGAGCAACTAGTAATCTTTCACATAGTCTGTTCTCAAACTTACCGCTTTGCAGGACAGCAATATTGTCTGCCTAGGCTATTGTGTAGAACCTTTGCTGCTAAGTTCGTCAACCAGGGTGTCTAGAACTATGTTTCAGAGGAGTGGTGATAGCACCCCTCCCTGTGGACACCCCTCGTAACCATGCCTCTAACAGAAACGTCTTCTACATTTATGCTTATTGCTCTATTAGAGAGTATACTGAATATCCATTCGCTTGCGGCCAGGGGAACGTCCCTGACGTTGAGTTGTTGGGTGATGGTTGGGAATGTCTTGTTATCAAGCGCTCCCTTAATGTCAATGAATATACCTCGGTTAGATAAAAACGAGGATAAAAGGAAAATAACTTAGGTGACTGACATCATTCAACGAATATCTAGGCTAAAATGGAGATAAGCAGGACATATAGTGAGGATGACAGATGGTCGATGGATACAAAAATCCTGTTTAAATGGAGAACATGTGAGGACAAACGAAGTGTCGGTTGACCACTAGTATGATAGACTAACGACAAATAAAATGAATAAAAACTGAATGAGAGAGATCCCGAGGGGTGGCACGGAGAAGAGGCATATGTTCAGCAGTGGGCGTTTGAGGCTGGATGATGAAGAGTAATTATAATGAAATAGGAGTTTCTGTTTACATTTTACGACGCACCATGGTAACTCCTGACATGGATAGTCTGGTTTGTTTAGTATTCATATCTTGATAGTGTATCCATTCAACTGTGTTGTGTTGTTATAAAGCGTTGACTCTCGAAACATAGATTATTTGTTTATTCATACTACATTTTTTTAGTGCGAGCCAATACATGGATGGGGATTCCGTAGAGGCGGTTATCAATGTCGTTGCCTGCCGGGATATAGGCTTCCTTTACAGGCGAGAAGGCCATTCCTGGGGGAGAAGGTTGAAAGGGCAACTGCTGAGCAGTATTACAACGGATTTGACTGTCAGAAGATTGGATGTAAGTATTTTTGCTCATTGATTTGTTATAATCTACATATAAGTTCCGAATATATAAACAACTAAAAATACTTAACTTCGCATTACAATTCAAAGGTAAAACATCACAGACGGGAAAAAGGGTTAGACAAAGTAGATAGAAGGAAACTATAATAAGGAACAGTACCAGGACAACTATCCAAGTGTATTTTAAAAGTAAACAATAACATCGCAAGATCTGGAGTGATTTAAGATTTCACCACTTCTTAGTGGTTCAATTCAGTTATCCACTTTGTCTTCTTCTTCGTATAGGACACGGTCCTGTTTATTATATCATCCCAGCTCTTGTAATGTTGATGTCATACCACCACTTTAGGGGTCTTCCTGGGTCCATTCTGTTGACATGATCTCTCCATTTGCGACATCTTGCTCGTACCCATCTCACCACATTCTGCACTCCAGTTTCTTCTAATGTATCCTCATTCCTCATTTATCTATGAGAGAAATTCCTCTTATGGTTGTTAATACTTGCATTTCTGTAGTTTTCATCAATCTTTTTTTTTGTAAGCGACGTTTCAGCTCTAGTTTCCGCTATGTGTGTTAGTACTGGTCTCAAACATGCTTTATATATCCGGATTTTTCTCCTTTTCCAATATTGTGGCTGCCTTGTTGACTTGTTTGTTCACTTCATCTGCAGTGTATCTATCATATGATACATCTATTCCGACTTAGTTGAAATTCATGACTTGTTCTATTGCGTTTTCGTTAATCATTAATTTACCTCTGATGGGGATCTTGGCTGTAATCATTGACTGGGTCTTTTCGTGGCATATTAATATATTTAACTTGTGTACTGTTATATTGAATCTGTAAAGTAGGCGCTGGAGGTCATCTTCAAATTCTGTCATGATTACTGCATCATCCGCATAGCAGAGAATACTTAAAACTTAGTTCTTTATTTCACAGTTCACCTTCTTTCTAACTGCTTTGTAAATTTCGTATGTCTCTTGGTTTTTGTTGCTCATGTATCTTATCTCGTTATCGGTATCTCGTTTTTCCTTAGTTGCTATCTTGACTTCGTCTGTAAAGTACGGTTTATTGTTTTTTGGTCTGTTTGTGTTGATTGCACGATACAGCTGAAACAAATAGATGACATCGAAAATATAAACGCGAGCTAGGAGAAAACTAAAAATTACATTGAAGAAGCAGCAACAGAAGCCCTAGGAAAACGCATACTGAACAAAAGAAACAACAATAGTACATCATGGTTCAGAAAAGAAATAAAAGAGAAATGTAAAGAGAAACGAGAGGCCTACACAAAACATCAAATACTCCAGAATCCCAACACACCTAGAGAAGAATACGAAATGAAACAAAGCAGTTGGTAAGAAGAACAAAAATGAACACTGGGAACAGTTTACAAAAAGGATGGAAAGCCACTTCTACGGTACACAAAAACAAATATGGAGATTCATAAGAAACCAACGGAAAGAAATGGCAGAATTGAAGGAATAGAATAACATACCAGCAAACGAATGGGAATGATACCTGACGGAAGGTTTTAAAGGAAAAGAAAATAATCAACTCAATAACGTACCTGAATTAAGACACATAATAGAAATCAGTTTTCAGAATAGAGATAGCCATGAATTCACTGAAAAATAGAAAGTCACCAGGACCAGACGGAATGACCAACGAGCTCCTAATACACAGAGGAGAAAGTATAATCCTAAAGATGACAAAAATTATACAAAAACTAATATTGTACTGCAAGATACCAGACGCATGAAAAACAGCATAATGATACCAATGTTCAAGAAAGGAGACAAAGAAGACCCCAACAATTATGGAGGTATAAATCTACTGGACACCGCACTTAAGCTTACCACAAAAGTCCTAACCAACAAAATTAATAAACTAACAACTTTATGACAGGGATGTGTCCTATCACCTTTGCTGTTCAATGTTTACTCTGAGAAGATATTTCAGAAAGCTTTGGAAGGCACCTCGGATGGTATAATTATAAACGGGCAATGTATAAATAACCTGCGACATGCTGATGACACTGTCATACTGGCAGATAATGCTGAAGCCCTGCAACGCTTAATGGACCGAGTAACGACAGCCTGTAGAGAATTTGGAATGAAATTGAATACAAAGAAGACAAAAACGATGGTCATCAGCAAGCACCAAAACAGAAGGGTGAAGGTCAATGTCGACGAAACAGATCTGGAAAGAGTAACAAGAACAACGTACCTTGGAAGTAATCTTGATGAAACTTGGGACCACTCACTAGAGATAAGAATACGCCTGGAAAAGGCACGTACAATGTTTTACAAAATGCAAAAAGTTCTATGCAACTGCCAGCTGGGCATCTCATTGAGAACTAGAATACTTAAGTGCTATGTTTTCTCCACCTTGCTCTATGGTGTTGAAGCCTGGACAATGACAGAAGCAACACAAAAAAAGAATCCAAGCACTCGAACTCTGGTGTTACCGTAAAATTCTCAGAATAGCCTACATGAGCCATACGACAAATGCGGAAGTCTTGCGGAGGATGAATAAGGAAAGAGAGCTTATACTTATAATAAAAGAACTGAAAACACAATATTTTGGTCACATCATAAGAAATCAGAAGTATGAACTGCTCCAACTTATAATCGAAGGCAAAGTCAATAGCAAAAGAGGGAAGACCAGGAAGAAGACGCCACTCCTGGCTTAAAAACCTACGGCAATGGACGAACATGACCTCCATAGAACTATTCAGGGCTGCTACAAATAAGATTAAATGGGCAAATGTAATGGCCAACGTCCTTCAGGATAAGGCACCGTAAGAAGAAGAACAACTTTATCAGATGAACAACAAGGATTCAGATGCGGAAGATTCTGACGTCGTATTTGTACTAAGACAAATCACAGAAAAGGCCATCGAGTCATTCTTTCTCTAAGTCTTTCTATCGCAACCAAGTCCAAGACATCTTACACCTACTTTACAAACAATCTGAACAACAGAGAAACAAATTCTAAAAGAAACAACTTTACAAACAATCAATATTATACAAACCATGAAAAACATCAACTTCCATAATCGAATACAGGCAAAGATAGATGGAAAACTAACACAGTGTATACTAGTACAAAGCGGAGTCAGACAGGGTGACTCGTTAAGCCCACTTCTCTTTAATATAATAATCGATGAAATAATACGAACAGTGCGTATAGATCAAGGTTACAGAATGGGGAACAAAGAAATCCAATTAATATGTTAAGCAGACGACGCCCCATTGATGGTGGAGACAAAAGACGAGCTCCAAAGATTAACGCACATATTCAATACAACAGCCAAGAAATACAATATGATAATATCAGCTGAAAAAAAAAACAAATGTATGACAACATCTAAATACCCACTACGAAGTAAAATCGAAATTGGGAAAATAAATAAGCAGGAAGCAAGGTTTAGATATCTGGGAATAGATATAACTAGTTATGAATAGAGAGAAGGGAAACATAAGAAGAGCATGGAATGTAGAAGACATAAATGGATGGGTGACAAAACGGAAACCGGAGTGGAACGAACACATCAGTGGAATGGCAGAGGATAGAATAGTACGAATAGCACGAGATAAGTCACCAAATGGACGAAGAAGTATTGACAGGCCAAGAAAAAGATGGTGCGATAATTTAAACAATTTAGGAGGCTAATATTGAAGAAGAAACAGGCTTTAAAGCCTACATACAAGAAGGAAGAAGGAGAAGAAGTGTTGATTGCTCTTTGTCCTATTATTTCTGCGGCACTACTTGTAATATTAGCTTTTAGTTCTGCTTAAGATTCTCCAACGCTGTTTATTTTTGCTATGCAGTTCCGGGATACCTTTTTTTCCATTCGTATTTGGTAATAGGATTTTAGTGCTCTGGTTTTCCAGGGATTCGATATTAAATTTTGTTATATAGTTTGGTTTCCTTCTTTTTTCAAACTGTTGTTTTGGTTTCCAAACTCTGTTGTGTGAGAAGTTAGGGTTCTTACCTCAAATATGTGGCTAGGTTATAGTTTCCTGTTACTGATTAGTCGATCTTTGACTTTTGGCCTCTGGTGTTATTAAATATATATTTATGTTGTGTCTTGTGATCTAAGTATGTATCGTTTATACGCAATTAATTAAGGCGCACAGGTTTATCAGCTTTTCTCCGTTTTGTTGTTCTTCGTTGAATTTCTGCATAATTCCTGGAATTCTCAAATGTTAAAACGAAATCGCTCATTAGGAATACACTGCCCGATTATTAATGTTGTCTAGTATATCCTGTAGCTATGGGGTTTAGGGAAAATGGTTACCATTCATGTTTGAATTATCTGTAACAGATGACACTTTATGAAATCCTGATCTTATGAAATAATAATGAAGTTGTTGCACTCAATTAAAATATTTGTTAACTATTAATATTTTTTATTATAGGGATTCAAAAACTACCTGTACAATGGGAACGTTCTGATCCATATTTAAGAGAAGTAGTATTGGACAAATACCCAGAGTACTGGAACCAAACTACAGGCCCAGCCAGTTTAAGCCAACCAGTAATGAACATTCATCGGGTTTTAGATTATATTCTAGGTATGAACAAAGATAATTGCAGAAAGTACAAACCCGAAGACCTACAGCTTTATGGAGGAATTATGCACGGAGCAGAGGAATTTTTCGAAAATGAAGCGAAAATGGCACTCAGACTTGCAAACTTTATAAGCGCTTTCTTACAAGTTTCCGACCCGAAAGAAGTTTATTCTGGGAAAAGAGTAGCCGATAGGGAGCTCACAGAAGATCAAATGATTGGAGAAACTTTGGCTTTAGTGTTGGGTAAGCCTCTTTATTTTTGTTATCTCACCAACTCTCAATATTTTTTGTATGTGTCAAATTGTTTTCTATTCTGGGAACTATATAAATTTTCTTATCAATTCAGATAATCCTGGACATATTTTTTAAATCAAGTACACACGAAATATTTGTTTACTTAATATCAAGATTAAACTATTTCGGCAATAAAAGAATCATTTAACTACAAATACAAAGGAGTACATGGAAATCAAAACAAAAACTAATACAACAAATCAAAAAACTAATGGCAAATTAGATAATATTGTCTTTTTTACATAATTCTAGTGATATCTAGTGAAAATCCTAAAGAGACCAGTCTTGAAAAACTCTGACATAGGAAGTGATATAGAAATTGCAATAAGAGGTCAAGAAAGCCGTACATCCTCTGGAACGTACAATATATCCCTAGAAATGATTTGTGTCTAATAAAAACACATTGGATTGGATATGAGGCCCCTAGAAGTCAAGGGGTCTAAGTATCGTCGGAGCCGGATAAGTATTTATAAAATTATTACTTATCCGCTGGACGTTTTAAAGTGGCATTGTCTTGAAAAAGACAAATGCCTAAGGGTTATTTATTGTAAGGAATAAAACAACCATTTCTAAGTAGAAAAAAACTCAGCTTCAGAGTCTTTTTAAACTTTTTGCAGAGTCCTCCAATGAGGAGCCCTGCGGCTACTCCGTAAGAGTAAAACCACGACTGACTGTAAATCGAAAATGTCACATATTTAAAGTATATTTAACTTTTATATGAAACTTTTACGATTTTTAACCAATAGAATTTATTAAAACTTCCAGAAGGAGGGACGATGCACGTCGATGCGCGAGATTGCGGCGCTCGGCGACATCCCCCCCGCTTTGGAGACTCTGAGGCTGATAAAAAAAGCTGATTTTATTAAATGCATTAAGAAAACAGAATTTTTACAAGTTAAAAAATAAATTTAAAAAAATTATGCATAAAAATGGCAAAATTGAATGTTCAAATGTTATCAAAGTCATTACTTACAGTTTTCTTAACACAAAACTACACTCGCGTGGCACTGCACTGCACAAAAACACTCACAGGCGGTGGTCGGTGTCGTGGCCGGCTTCTGCAGGTCCCTCCTCGGCGATGTGGCCGGTCGTCGGCCGCTACGTCTCGTTCTAGCCCTTCAGTACCCTCTGCATGTCACCGGTGGTCCGTACGTAGGCGAGTTTTACCTGAGCCTCCGTGGTGCTCCCACATACTGGTAGGGCAGGCAGTGACTGGCTACTCCGGGGACATCCATCGTGCATCAGGTACGGCATCAAGGTAGGTTGGCTTCGGAGAAGGTCACACATCGACGGTTACAGGTTGCAGAATGTTGGATATCGGCATATTAGTGTATAACATACTAATATCCGATCCTCTCCCCGCTGTTTCTTGAGTGGTTCTTGTTGCAGACCACGTGTAGGAATTTCTGCGATGTTGGAACGCTAGCATGAGAACTCTAACCACTCAGGGCGTGGTTACGTTCGAGTTTTGTTGGGCGCCATATCGTCGGAGCGGGATAAGTATTTATAAAATTATACTTATCCGCTGGACGTTTTAAAGTGGCATTGTCTTGAAAAAGACAAATGCCTAAGGGTTATTTATTGTAAGGAATAAAACAACCATTTCTAAGTAGAAAAAAACTCAGCTTCAGAGTCTTTTTAAACTTTTTGCAGAGTCCTCCAATGAGGAGCCCTGCGGCTACTCCGTAAGAGTAAAACCACGACTGACTGTAAATCGAAAATGTCCCATATTTAAAGTATATTTAACTTTTATATGAAACTTTTACGATTTTTAACCAATAGAATTTATTAAAACTTCCAGAAGGAGGGACGATGCACGTCGATGCGCGAGATTGCGGCGCTCGGCGACATAAAAGTACACAATCAACATTTTGAGAAAACTCAAGTCAAAGTCAGAAGATTATTGTAAGAGGGAAATTTAAAATTCCATTATTTTGACCGTATAAGAAGGATGATAAGGTCTTTGGATTATTATTGCGAATAGTAGAAAGTATTACAATATTCGGTTATTGTTATATGTATAAAAAATAATTGATGGTGCGCACATGGATCCCTTTACCTCATCATTAATTTTGTGAGAATAAAAATGCTCAATGTGCACAAAAATACATAAGTGATTTTATTATTATTTAAACAATTATTTTGTATGTTATTTTTACATGACAGTATTAAATCAGAAAATATGAGATGTTGGCACTTGAAAACTATTTAATTGCTGTCATCGGTGTCATAAACGTTGTTACCAAAGTAATTATCATCATTTTCATTGCCTATAAAAGTACCGGTTTCCAGTCTTTGTTTCGTGACGGGCTTAGGTAAAATTCATGGTATATCGGTGGTAAGAACTGCAAGAGTTCCATGAGATCTTCATACTTTTTGTATTTAAGCTTGGGCTTCTTAATTACCGGTTGAAACATGGGAAGCTGATAAGAAATTTTACCTGCTCGTTGTTTCTTCATTTGCAATTTTTCGTAAGGCATAATACCCTCTGCTGATGTTGTCTTATAAAAAAGAGTGTCTGAGTTTGCCTTTTCATAATGCATTTTCTGCATTCCTCGTATTCCTGGCACATTTTTCCGGAAGTACTGATTTAGTAATTGAAGATCAATAAAGTCTGTATTCATTAAGTTAGTCACATTAAATTTTCTACTTGCTGAGGCAGCCAGATTTATCTAGTCTTCTGGTACATAGATATCACGTTGGTTCGTCTTCTTTTTAATTTCTATGATTCCAAAATCTTGATCACTTTGATTGTAAGAATGTCCAGCGACTAGAAAGTGGAGATCAACAGTTTTAATTTGAGTATTCTTAACAATATAAAGCCAAAATTTGACAATTAGGTGACTTTTGTTTTGCCCTCCACAGTTGTCACTGAACGCAGAGATGTGTTTCACAGTGGGACGAAGACTGAACGAATTGTAACAAACAAGAAGCTATCTCCTGGCAGCCCCTACCTGCCTGTCCTTCGTGCCACATGTATATGTGGGCGGTTTCACTTGTTAGGTTGTGTATATTCAAATTGTACGTCCAGAGTTGACTGTCAACTTGACTGTCATTCTTTAATAATTTGCACTTTCTTTTAGCTTCTTTAGCTGCTTCTGCTTTCCTTAAATGAAGTTCTTTTTCAACTTCAGCTGTTTGCTTCTCACCAGGCGTGCCGTGGCTAATTTTCATTTGTAACTTGTCACAAGTGACACAGGTGTCGGTGTGAGGTCTGTAGAAGCTTAGATTGAATTTTGTTTTGAATATAAATCTGTAAAAGCTTTCTTTTTCAGGTTCCACATTTTTTTCTTCCCTACAAAATTTTTCGTACAGTTTATACATAATTGGTCACATTCAAGCCTGGTTTAGGTATCTTTGGTTTGGAGATTTAGTCCTACTGTAATGGCTTGAGTAAGTGGGAAAGTTTCTTATATGCTCCATAATTATCTCCACTTTGTTTGTTGGAATTTTGTTTGGCGGTTCCTTCTTTCCTCGTTTGTCACGTTGTGATACGCCAGATGGATTTATTCTTTTTTTTAATAATAACATTCCTTATCCTTTTGTTAGAAATGTCAAGAGTTTAAAAAAAGCCTTGCACACCATTTAAAAACGATGTCTAAAGCTCCCAGTTACCTAGCTCCCAATATTCATTAAATATTGATTCCCTCTGTTCGTAAGGAATCTTTTCGTTGCAATGAAACCTACACCGTTGATTATATTCACGTAACTTTTTTGACTCGTGTTGCCTCATATTACGATCCAGATCAGCATGCCCTGTGTCTCTTAATTTCTTTTTCTTATAACATTTCCATGTTTCCTCTCTTCTTAGCTTTTTTTCCTTGTTGAGCTTCAAGAGGAAAAGTATTGGACAGTCCAGGTCTCCCTTCTTCTTCTGTACTATCTGAAAAATATTCGCCGTTAATCAACAAAACAAAAAATAAATCGTATCATACATGTAAATGTTATATTTTTATAATATAAATTTAATAAGACAACGAAGTTTGTCATTCCTCCACAAATTTATTAATAATAATTTTTAGCTTACCCAAAGAAGAATTCGATTGCATCATCCTCAGGATTATAATCTCTGTCTATTTCAGAATCATAGCCATCTCCAAATAGTGGTCTCTCACTGCTACCGCTTAGAAAACTGATATTGTCATCGTTTACATCGTCATGGTTCTGTTCATTACTTTCCTCGTGAATAGGATCGATAAAATGAATAATTTTGTAAAAAAATGTACAGTTGTTATATTTATTATTACTGCTATATTAATTCTTCCATATTAATAAAAGGCTAAAGCTAAAGTATCTAGTAATTACACCTTACCTGCATATTGTAGGTTAAATTGAGCTTCTTCTTCACTTTTTTCCATTTAGTATTAGTTTTACAAATTGTTTTATTATTGTAAAACATTTATATATTTACTTTGAAAAACACCAGCAGTAAAATAATAATAATCTGTGATGGTTTGTGGATTCCTGGTAAAGGGATCTAAGTGCTTTTGGGCCCCTATCGTTCCAAGTTTGAACTTATCAATACTCAGTGGTTAAGGGGCACCACGCAAGATGTCATCACCTATCAAAATAATCAGTTGGATCTATTCACCACCAAATAGATTAGTATTTTCACAACTCATTCATGCACCTAACTCATTTTTTTTCAAAAATGTTACTTAGACCCCTTGTCCTCTAAGGTTCTTATATAATAAGTATTTAGAATTGTCAAAACACAGGAGATATGCATATAGTTAAAGGATTGGGCGATATCGATATATTCATCAAACATACATGAAAAATCTTCAAATGTATATCTAATTAAGTGATGGATTTGACCGTTACTTGATAGAAATTCATTTTATATAAACAATAAACTACTGAAAACTTTGTTTTCAAAACTTCCACAAAATTTATTATATTTTATCACTACAGCTGTTTCGGCAGAGTCCATTCTCAAGTGATTTATTTTTGGATATGTTTACAATTTATAATCTTGACGAAATAGGTTGAGGAGGGGAGAACTGTTTGTCTCAAGTTGGTCATTCAGAATTATGTCTATGTTTTTAATTTGTTAATTTCCATAGATAATAATAAACATAGCTTAAGCCCTTTATTTTTAATGGGAATAATTTGAAATTCGCCATTAAAAGAATTATTATGATCTAGAAGGTGAAGTATGTATGTAGAATATATATTTCTATTATTGAAAGTCCCTTTATGTTCTGCTATAAGTTTGTTAAAAGTTCTCTTGTTTCTAGTTTTTTTTTTATATTATGTATTATTTTATATTTGCCTAAGTTGTTGTTTGCTCTAAAAGCTGGTGTTATTCCTTTCTTTTTTATGTGTTTGGCTATTTTTGTTGTTATTTTGCATGTATATGTAATCGAGCAGAAGATACTGGGTTTTTTTCTCTGGTGGTGGAAATACTAATTTCAGTACTCACAGAACAAAATTAATTCATTAATTTTTTAGATTTAAAAATCATCGGACTTAAAAATAAACATGAATTCTCCGTATTTCATAAACCTACCCATACTGATACGACTATACGTTCATCAACCCATTCTACACAACATTAACTGGCAGCCTATCATAGCATGTTACATAGATTAATAGAAATTCCGATGTCCATTGTCCAACTTTCACAGCCATACAGCAAAACAGAGAAAACGTAACATCTGATCATTCGAATTCTGAGATCTAGACTAAGGTCTGATGTTGTAAAAAATGTGTTCATATTCTTGAGTGTTTTCCTCGCTTGTTCTTGAAATTCTTGCTGTATACAAAACTATATTTTCAATGATTAATGATTCATTTACTATTTCAGTTTTATGTGTTGCATGTAGAATTTTTTGAGTTTTTACTTATTGAGTAATTTGTATTCGTTAATATTTCAGGAAATAGTCGCATTTGGTCAGCTGGTACATATTGGGAAAGAAATAAATTTCCAAATCGAACGCTCTTTGCTCCTTATGCTTACAAAAAAATTCTAAACACGAGGAAATACAACGTTGAAGATTTAGCCAGATTGGACAAACCATCCGAAGTCTACCTGAACAATATATGGTTCAAAGATTTAAAATATCGATGGGCTTCTAATTTCGATAGTTTAGAAAAGTTCTGGCTGAAAATTAGGATACGATTCAACGAGACCGGGGAAACCACAATGAAATTCGAACATTTTCCGACCTATTATAGAGGTGCAAGATTAGAGCATGGACATTGGACGCAACCGTACTATGATTGCTACGGAAAGGTTCCTATGTGGAAAATTAAGTATGTGGCGCCATTCTTTGGTTGGGACAGTCTTAAAGCGAAACTTGAATTTAAGTAAGTATTGCACCTACATAACGTTAAAGTTAAATTTATTGTTATTCTAAAAAATTCACACAATGGAAAATTTAGTCGATTAAACGTTTTAATTGTATAAAAATTATACAATTTTTTATTTTTGTTGAGTTTGAAACTTTCATGTTCAAAATAAAAGATGAATTCAAATATTTTTTAATAAAATAATAATAAACAGAGATAGTTATTAACATATTCAAAAAAAACTATAATGATATTAGAAATAGGGATTTGTGTGTTTTTTTATTGTTACATTGCATGTTTACTATCTACTCTTGTAACGTTTCAATCAACCGATTGAACGTGACACCAAGATCCGCTCGGTACTTGGCCCCCGTACTATAATATTCCTAAGCGACCTCACTACATACACTACTGAGTATGCTGGTTGCCGATATGGAATAACTAGAATATAATAAAAGTACTCAGCTTTATTTTGTTTGGAATGAGTTGTCCCGTCTTTCAGGAAGGGTTCCGATCCCTGTTGAATCTAGCCGTTGTCGGTGGATTTAAGGAGAGTTGCTGGTCTACATCATGGCAATTTTCTTCCCATGTTACTAAAGGGATTTCATATTCTGTGCTGATGCATCAGTGGCTTGGTATCTGGTTGCTGAATGTTGCCCAAGGTATTGCGGTTGACTGTTTTCATGCTCCCACGGTAGTAGCCGTTTATACGGCCAAGACACTAACCAATTTAAGAATGATTGTAGCAATTGTAGTAGAGTGAAAAAGAACGAATAAAAATTCGTATCGCAAGTACCGAGCGGAGCTTGGTGTCACGTTCAATCGGTTGATTGAAACGTTACACTCTATACACGGAGTAATAAGTAAATAGTCTGTAAGTAAATTAACGTGAGTTATGTACCGTCCAGGCGACCGACGGTTCTCTAAATATTATTGCGGTAGGTCTTCTGACCATACTATCTTCAATCTTCTTTCGGCAAGTGGTTGGGTGAATAAATTATTTATCAGTTCGTTGTTGTGATCAGTGGTACCATTTTTATATTTTATTGAGTGATTCTTTGTTATGTCCTTGAGTAATGGGATCTCCAGATTATTGTGAAGTGTTTGGTTAGATACATACCATGGAGCTTTACTTATCATACGGACTATTTTGGATTGGAATGTTTAAAGTATCTTCGTATTTGAAAGTTTACTACAGCCCCATAGTTCATTTCCATATTCCCAAACTGGTATGAGTATAACTTTGTACAGAAGCAGTTTATTTTCAAGAGATAACTGAGATCTTTTGTTAAATAGACAGTACATATTTTTTAGTTTAAGATCTAGTTGTTTTCGTTTAGTTTTAATGTGCTTTGTCCAGTTAAGTTTTTCATCCAGATGCAATCTCAAGTATTTGAAAACTGATTTTATAGGGATGGGAGTATTACTAATATAAACTTGTGGACATGTAGATTTTCTTGTAGTAAAAGTAATTTGTACTGATTTGCTAGCATTAACACTGATCTTCCATCGCTTAAGCCAGTTTTGTAATTGGGCTAAATGATTTTGTACTTTTTTGATGCTACATTAGGGTCGATACCTACTACCAAGATTCCCGTGTCATCGACAAAAGTGGATAAGAAGGTATCATTGTTGTTTGGAACTTCTGCTGTAAATATCAGATACAGAACTGGGCCCAAAATGCTACCCTGAGGTATGCCAGATTGTATGATGTAATTTGAGTAATCTTCAATTTTGACTTGGAAGTAACGATCAGTAAGATACGATTTTAGTATAAAGTATACTTGGTCTGTTAGGTGTAATTTCAGTTTGTAGAGGAGACTTTTATGCCATACTCTATCTAATGCCTGTTGTATATCTAGAAACACTCCAGCGCAAAACTTTTTCTCTTCGAGAGTTGTTTTAATGATATTTACTATTCTGTGGCATTGTTGTATGGTTGAATGCTCCCGTTTAAATCCGAATTGGTGTTATGGTATAATTTCGTTTATGGGAACAACTTGCTCGATTTTATGTACTAGTAGCCTACAGAAAAATATTTAGTGAGCAACACTTATGTGATTCTTCTTCTTAATGTGCCTATCCGTTACGAATGTTGGCGATCATCATGGCAATATTTATCTTATCTGCAGCAGCGTGGAAAAGCTGCACAGATATGTTGTATTGAACCAGATCCTAAGGTTCTTTAACCAAGATGTTCTTCTTCCTGGACCTCGCTTTCCAAATATTTTTCCTTGCGGGATGGCTTGCAAGAAGAGCAGACTTATGTGATAGAACCTTTAAAATACAAAAGAAATCAAGTGAGGAGAAAAGAGGTGTCGTCCAGGTTGCCAAGTTGTCAGAAAAATATAAAAATAGAATTTTTAATTCATAAAAGTTTTATAATCAATTTAAAATCAGAGAATAATCGAAAAACACACATTTGTAGATGTGTAAAATGGATCGAGATCAAAATAAAAGAAAAGCATAAATTCCGGTCGTATAAAATTTTACAGATTATAAATAAAATTTTCGTGGAGATGTCAAGTAATAATTTAAATGTAACAATAAAACACTGAAAACTTTGTTTTCAAACTTCCACAAAATTTATTTTAAATATTATCACTACAGCTGTTTCGGCTGATTGCCTTTCTCAAGTGATCTATTTTGGCTTGGGTTTACAAATTTATAGTCTCTAATGAAATAGGTTGAGGAGGGGAGAACTGTTTGTCTCAAGTTAGTCATTCAGAATTATATCTGTATTTTTTAATTTGTTGATTTCCATAGATTCTAACAAAGATAGCTTAAGGCCTTTATTTTGAATGTGAAGAATTTTAAATTTGTCATTAAAAGAATGATTATAATCTAGAAGGTGAAGTGCGTATGTCGAATCTGTTTTTCTATTCTTGAAAGCCCTTTTATGTTCTGCTATTCGTTTATCAAAGTTTCTACCAGTTTGACCGATGTAAGTTTTTGGGCAGTCGCCACATTGAAGTTTGTACACACCACTATTTAAGTGTTTTTTATTTTGCCTCTTATTATTTTTAATATATTTGCCTAGGTTGTTATTTGTTCGGAAAGCTGGTGTTATTCCTTTCTTTTTTATGTGTTTGGCAATTTTTGTTGTTATTTTGCCTGTATATGTAATCGAGCAGAAGGTACTGGGTTTTTTCTCTGGTGGTGGAAATACTAATTTCAGGGCTTTCTTGTGTAGTTTTTGATTTAACGTTTTATTAATTGTTTATAGTCGTGTCAGAATGGGTATGAAATATGGAGAAGTCATATTTGTTTTGAAGTCTGCTAATTTTTAAATCAAAAAAATTTATGGATTGATTTTGTTCTGTTTCTATTGTAAATTCAATATGACTATGAAGTGAATTAATATATGATAAAAATTGGTCGAGTTGCCTGTTAGTTCCTGTGAAACATACCAGTACGTCGTCTACGTATCTCCACCAATATAAAAACTTTTTGAATACGGGATGTTTTGAAATCTTTGTCTCTAGATGATCCATAAAAATATCTGATAGCAATGGGCTTAGAGGATTACCCATTATAAGTCCTGCATTGTTATTTGTATAAATTTTATTATTAAATTCAAAGTAGTCTGGTTTATGCAAACTTCAAGAAGATGTAAAATTTCAGATGTAATTATTGGATTTGTACTATTTTGGTCTAAAAGGTTTTTTACTACAATAAAAGTTTCTGTAGGAGGGATACTAGGAAAAAGATTTTTTACGTCAAATGAAATTAATTGAAGTTGTTAGGTAATTGAAAATGTTGTATTTTATTAACTAGTTCTATTGTATTTTTTATGGTAAATTTAGGTGAAAATTTAGTGTGGTCTAAAATAATCTCTTAACAGTTTTTTTGAAATTTGTCCGAAACCAGATCACCCAACAGTCTTATTGGGTGATCCGGTTTGTGTAGTTTAATGAAAGTATATAATTTAGGAGGCTGTGGGTTCATGATACTGAGGTATTTCTGTTCTATTGGATTTAGTATTGATTTTGAATTTTCTAACGCTAGCCTAATTTGTTTTTGATATTTTTCTGTGGGATCTTTTTAAATCAAAAACTACACAAGAAAGCCCTGAAATTAGTATTTCCACCACCAGAGAAAAAACCCAGTACCTTCTGCTCGATTACATATACAGGCAAAATAACAACAAAAATTGCCAAACACATAAAAAAGAAAGGAATAACACCAGCTTTCCGAACAAATAACAACCTAGGCAAATATATTAAAAATAACAAGAGGCAAAATAAAAAACACTTAAATAGTGGTGTGTACAAACTTCAATGTGGCGACTGCCCAAAAACTTACATCGGTCAAACTGGTAGAAACTTTGATAAACGAATAGCAGAACATAAAAGGGCTTTCAAGAATAGAAAAACAGATTCGACATACGCACTTCACCTTCTAGATCATAATCATTATTTTAATGACAAATTTAAAATTCTTCATATTCAAAATAAAGGATTTAGGCTATCTTTGTTAGAATCTATGGAAATCAACAAATTAAAAAACACAGAATTCTGAATGACCAACTTGAGACAAACAGTTCTCCCCTCCTCAACCTATTTCATTAGAGACTATAAATTTGTAAAGCCAAGCCAAAATAGATCACTTGAGAAAGGCATTCAGCCGAAACAGCTGTAGTGATAATATTTAAAATAAATTTTGTAGAAGTTTGAAAACAAAGTTTTCAGTGTTTTATTGTTACATAAAATGAATTTCCATCAAGTAACGGTCGAATCCATCAATTTAATAATTTAATGCTGTTGAAATACTGATATTGGAAATAAATGTATAAGTTTTGGAATACTGGTGTGTATTATTATTATTATTATGTATTATTATTTACCGTAATTATAAAAGGGTTATAGTATTGTAAAGAGAAAATTTGGAATTGTAGAGTAAAACAATCAGATTAATACATTGTGATCAGCTTTGTACAAGGTTGATTATGATGTAGACATTTTTTTATATAAAGAGTGGCTATATTATCTATTTTAGAGTTAACAAAATTTGTAGAATGTGTAAAGTAAATAAAATCTGTTTTGCCATTTAAAAATATTCATTGTTCGTAAGCAAGTTTCGAAGTGATCTCAAATATCTCAATTTCAGAAGAATAAATCAAAATGTCATCCCAAATTTATCTTGGTACTTAATGTATATGGTTCAATGCACTATTAGCACCAACTTCTATAATCAGTGGTTCCACTATGACCTCCATAATATTATCGAGCTCCCAGAACATTTTTTCTTCTGTATTTTTCACATGCCCCACACAGTTTTTCCCATTTTTCCGGGGTCATCTTTAGGACTTAATCGAAGAGGTTTTTTTATATCTACGAATTTAAAAATTTTGTTGTGGGTAGCAAGTTTTATTTTGTTCTCTTGCCATTTTGTCTATGACATATTTATTAAAGTCTGTGAAAGCTGTAATTGTAAAAGTTCCACTTCTAACATATCGTCTTCGAAATTAATATCTTCTGTGTAGTCAGTGTTTTATTTTGTTTGTCCCATGATGTAGTAGGTGCTTTTTCAATTTTTCGAGAATGATAAAGAGGCATTATCAAGAACTATCACACAATTATCTTCTACACGGGCAATGTACTTGCAAACCACCTTTCGAAACTCTCAGCGTTAATCTCTTCATGATAATCGTCGCTCTTTTTTTACTCAAACATCCATAAACCATTTTTTACAAAACATGTTTCATCCCGAATGTACGTAATTAAATTTCTGATATGTATAAGTCAAGTTATTATATTTATTTTAGGGGTGCAGTTGGTGTTACGATGGATTTATTGAAATTGGATATTAATCAATGTCCAGATACCTCAGCCAATGCTTTTGAAAGCACAGAAAAATGCCACCAGAAAACATCTTACGTAAGTAATTTTTTATAAATTCTACTATGCAAGACGTGCGTTTTGTAATATTGTTTGTAAAATCAAATTATTCTGGTAGTTCAGTTACTTCCTGTCAACTTTGACAATATTTGGTTTCAGCAAGACGTCTGTTCTGTTCATGTATTGCGGTACAATACACGAGCAGTTCAAAATATTTAGAAACCATTTTTGGAAATAAATTAATTTCTTGTCGTGGTACGATCAAGTGGCCTCCTAGATCACCAGACTTATCCCCAAATGACTTTTTTCTTTGGGAATATTTGAAAGCAAGTGTTTGTCGACATGGTTTTAAAAGAGCCCGAAATTTAGCGGAATTGAGTCAGAAAAAAATTCATCTTTGTGGTAGCATTAGACCGTAACTGCTCAGGAATATGAGAGTATCTCTGTACAAAAGACTTGGTTTTTGCTGTGCAGAAAGAGGTGGAATATTCGAACCTCTATTACATTAAATTTTTGTTTTTAATATTATTATTATGTTATTTTTGGAATTCCTTTTTATTTCTGTTTTTAGAAATCTACTTTTATTCCAAGCCATTTTGGCAATAAAATATATCAATTTTTTTTAGTTAAATAATATTTTTAATTCCATATCTACGTAAAATTGTACGTTTTTTGACGAAATGATATGCACTCTACCTGTGTTCCGTTTTTACACTGGCGGTTAGATTTAACCATACGATGATCGTTTGCGTTTGGTAAGGTGCGGTGCGGTAGTAGGGTATCGACTGGAGAGGGAGTCCAGTTGAAAAAATTAATTAATTTTAAAACATTCGACGTTGTATTCAAATTTACACTGGCTAATTGCAAATTTGTATATTCGCGAATATGCGCCATATTCCTGTTAGGAGGTTTTTTATCCTTAAAACACTACGCTGGCTAGACGGGTTGGTGAGTGATTTTATACAATCCCTAAAATCAAGGGATTACCACTTCCGCCATCCACACCGTACCGAAAATATTCTTCTTCGCCGTGGCTGCCGTTGTTGACTTCAATGGACAAGGGTCACGGATCCCCCTAACTCCTCAAAGCAGAACTTGAAAAGGCAGATAACAAATGTCAACTCAGAAGTGATGCCTGAAATAAGCCGCCATCACATATCTAAAAATATATATATCCGGTTTTTTAGGCGTTACGCCCGTCCGGTAGGGATCTATGGAGGAGTATCACCAAGCCGCAAGCCCTTATCTCTTGCCGTACTGCTCCACCATAGGCCGATCAGATCCCAGCATATCCTAGTCTAAGCCGCAGATTCATCTAGAATTTTAAACTGCTGCGTTAGACTTTTTGTTTTCAGTACACCGAGCTGGGGGCCCGAACCCACATCCACTGAACCATTCGACAGTGAAGCGAATGAGAGGCAGCCGCACAGCCCGCTGAGCTATCTGACCGACTACATATCTAAAAATACTATTTAATAAATGATATTAAATCAGAAAAACTCAGAGAGCTATGGAACGACAGGTATCTAACTCAAAGGCCATAAAACCAATGAAGATATTCATAATAGAACAAAAGTAAAAGATGCTGTCAAACAGGCAGCTAAACTGAAATGGAAATGGGCTGGACATAATGAACGTCTTAAGGATGGCCGATGAAATAATGAATTCGGTAATTGGCGGCCATATGATGTCAAAACACCACGAAGAAGACCGCAAATGCGCTAGAGCAACGATATTAAAAGAACTGTAGGACCAATGTGGAAACGTCTTACAAACAACAGAGATGAATGACGAGAATTAGGAGAGGCCTATATTCGGCAATCCGAATAGAGAGAAAGGCTTTAAGAATTGCAAATCAGGGAATCTCAGTTATTGTATTAAAAATTCTATGTTCCGTTAAAAAATTCCAAATCTGTATATATGTAAAAAGAGTTAACATTTTTATTATAGAGCCCAATTGTTTTGATACCCTAGCAATCTAAGATGAGTGCGGCCTCACACTAATCTTGATTTTATATTACCAAAATAAAAAAAATTAGATGAAAAGTACAACTAAGAACTTTTTAATGTCCACCACAATGACAATAACAATAACAAATCAAACTTTCATGGTATACAAGGCAACTATCGAACACAGTAATTAATTAAATCTTGCCCAAGTACTTTCGATCAATAGATCATCTTCAGGGGCATTTCGTCAGTTGTGGCTTATCCGACATGAGCAGAATGTTATACATGTAAATTTGGACATAATAATACAATACACAAAGACAAGCAAACACTTTAAAATTTTTAAAAAGGAGAAGCTACATGTTATATAGAAGCCGGAGACATCCGGATGATCTATTGATCGAAAGTACTTGGGCAAGATTTAATTAATTACTGTGTTCGATAGTTGCCTTGTATACCATCAAAGTTTAATTATTCGAACATTCAACCTTATATTGGTTGAATAACAAATCAAACTTATCCGAATTTTTTTAGCTGTTTCTTATAAATTATCCACATAGCATCTAAAAGAGCCATTCCAAGTTCATAATTTTTGCAGATAGGTTATTTTAGATTCAACAAAAGTAAAAATATAAAACAGAAGCTCAGGCTGATGTTAGAGTAACACTTATGTTTTTGAAACAAATAGTTGTGTGTATCTTCTTTTTGCATACGGACTTCCAAAAAATAAAAGATTTCATAAAAAATCACCCGTTTGTACTTTATTATGTACTTTTAATTCTATCCATACATTTTTAGATACTTAACTTGACCTCAATGTACTACTATGTACTATCTTATGTGTAGCTCGACAAGATAAGCAATCTCTATTCCATTATCTGCATTGTGTTTATTTTTCTGTGGTACAATACTAATTTAATTTTCGGTGTTTTTAAACTAATTTCCTTATAACTTTTTAACAGTATAGTCAATGACTGTATATCGTGCGCTTGTTAATAATTTATAAAATTTAAATAACATCTTTTTTTTCAAATTTTAGTGTGTACCAATCCTAGGAAGAGGATTTGAAACAGGAGGCTACAAATGCGAATGTAAACAAGGCTATGAATACCCATTCGAAGATCCCATAACCTATTATGATGGACAATTAGTAGAGGCAGAGTTTACAAACCTAGTAGATGATAACGAAACTCGCTTTAATATGTTTAAATGCAGACTAGCGGGTGCTGGTAGTATAGAAGTAAGCATAACGACTGTTTTAGTGTTATTATTGATTTCCTTGGGTTTATATAGAGTTTAATTAATAAAAATTATTAGTGGGTCATCAAATTGGTGTTCATATCAGCATGCTGAAAGTTAAACATGACATAGTGCATTAAATGTTGAATTAGTCTTACCTAAATTCATGTCAATGCAATCGTCATGTTGTACGACTTTCTCAGCCGCAGCGATGAACCATAGTGTGGTTCATAATACATAGTATCTGATACCTAATTCAACAGTTACCTTGCTGTGTAATCAACTACTTATAACTGCAAACGAAATAATGTATTAAAATTATTTGTAAGTATCGGTGAATGTTGCATGTTCATCAATTTTAAGTTAATTATTTTTACTCAATATTTAAGAGATGCATGTGTTTGGTTTTTGCGAAATAGTTTTTGTAAGATCAACCCGACCATCAGAAATCAATCCCTGTAGAAAGATGTAAGACAAAATTCACAAGTTTTACAAAATATTGATCTGACGTTGTTAGTTTTACATAAAAAATACAAAACAGGCTTCATGTTTTAATATATTTTCATATCATTGATATTTTCCAAAACTCTGAAGTGAGAATTCGGAAGACCGTAAATATCGCTTCCACGGCCACTAATAGCTCCTCTTTCTATGAGAACAACCAGCATCAGCTTCTACAAAATCTCTCACGGTTAATCGAATATTTTCCAAAAGCTTATCCTGCAATGATTGCTGATATTGACGTACTTTCGACGACCTTACGTGTATCGTCTTCAATAATTTTACGACTAGCTTTAAATTCATCACAGTCACATCATTCTACTGTTCTAATTGTAGGTGAAGAGTTTTTATACACTATTGATAATTGTTCGTGAATTTGTTAGTTTTGGTGCTAACAAACAAAGTTAAACAAACATGTTAAACAAAGATAAAGTTTTATATCTGCACTATTCAATTTCTTCCAGTGTAAAAAATATGACACAAAAGTATATTGACAGATTTATATGATAACACGTGTTAACGAACAGTAGTATCATTTGACACATTTTTCGTTTTTTTTTTTTTAATAATAAATTCTATAATTATCAAAAATAGCAAATTATATAAAAATTTTCAAAAACTTTTGAATTTTTAGTGTTTTTCGTGTATTTTTCAAAGATAAAAATTTATTTACAGCTGATATTGCGACCCTTCAGGAAATTTTACATGAAAATCATACGTTTCATTATTTCACTTAAAATACATTATCTCTATAATTTTATATTCAAATGTGACAGACATTCCTAACAATTTACTTGAAGCATTCGGTTTTCGTTAAAATTTTTAATTCAAAGGATTCTGATTTTTGATGATTATAGAGATAATGAATCTGAATTTTTATGTGAGACAATTTTTTGAACCTTTTTTTGCTACCTACCGTATATTTCAATATTTTAAATAAAAAAAATATTAGATTAATATAAATAAAAATGCTTTGAAGAAGATGAATCTGCGTTGCTAAACAAATGTGAAGGAAAATCCAGAAAAACTTGAAAAATCGAAAAAATCTAATGTTTTTAATTTCCAATATAGTTAATAACAGGCGCATTCTAGTCCTATCCCAAAATCTCAAAGTACATTATATCAAACTTCGTGTTCCTAAATTCCCCTAAACTCGTTGTTTTTGTCCCAGGCATTTGAAAATATCATATTTTTCATTTTTTCGGCTTTTATTGAAAAATGTAAGAATTCTGGTTTAACCGTTGCGTTGAGCAGAAAATTTTACATCGAAAATGTGTTTTTCAAATCTTTTCTTATATTTCAAAGAAGAGTTGTGCTGAAGACAAACTTCAAAGTTATTTTAATCCCTAATTACGCTGGAACTTCAGGGCCCTAATTTACCGATCGAGTTAAAAAATTGATTTGTTTACTTGGTGTGGAATTACGCAATGAAAACTTAAGGTACGCGCACACTTAACCGAACCGGTCGGCAACAGAACGCACCGCTACAGCCCGGAATTAAACGCCGTACCGCGCATTTACCGCAAATCACGTCAACTCAGTTAGTGGATTTACATATTTCATGGAAGACGGATCCAAAAATTATTATTGTTTGTTGTGCGAGAAGAGGAACGACGAAATAAACTGCCAAAAAGGAAGCGTAGTAGTGAGTATATGAACTTTATAAAAAGCCAAACAGGGAAAGTACATTTGCTACTTTATTTCCTGATTTAATCGATAATCAAGACAAATTTTATCAACACTTCAAAATAAGTTATGAAAATTGTGAAGAACTCTTATCTATTATCAAAAAAGATCTTACAAAACAAAATACAATGAAAAACTCTATTCTGACAAAAGGACGCTTAGTATTAACTCTTAGGTAAGTATTTAACGTTTTTTCGATTCGTTCCGTTGTGGAAGAGTTCACTAAGTCAGCAGGCAACGCAGCACTAGACACTGACCACGAATACATTACATTCCGAGTTTTTGGCGCAGTTCGATGTAAGCCGATAAATTGACGATCATCCTGGTGCGTTTCGTCACCGGTTTCGTTACCGGCGGGTTCAGTTGTCAAGTGCACGCGTACCTTAAGTCTATGATTTAATTGAAGTGGACATTATATGTTATGGTTTGGTGTGTGCCCCGGTATTATTTGTTATTTTTACTTTTGCTTTACAAGATTTGTTCTTTGTATACTTCGTTTTCCATTCCATAATAATTTAATTTTTATAGTCTTAGGTTCTGATGTAAATTAATATATTAGATTTTTCTGTGGTTGAACTTATAAAACGTATATTTTTGTAAGCAATAAATTAGTTTTCACGGTCAATTTACAATTTTGTATGTTGAAATAAGTAGAAAGTTGGTTAAACAGTCGTTAATATTATTTGCTTTCAGCATTATGAAAATCGAACACTTTGATGACCACGCCGAAAGAGGTTAATCAAACTAACGGGGCCTTTTCACATAATTAGTGCCTTGTAGAAACAAATTATTTTTTAATATACAATTTTAATTGTACCGTCCACATATTACTTTTATAATTTTTGTTGTTTTTGTTGTTAGGCGTTTCTTAAAGAAGCACCTTTTAATTGTGACAAGAGTCAATTACTCGATAATAAAATTAGTACAATTTTTCTATAATTTTCATTGCACGTCAGTATTCACTCAATCAATTTTATGTTGTCATACAGTATTGCCGAATCTTCAAAATAGTCAAGGGTATAAGGAAGTTTACGAATGATAAAAATGTAAGATTATTTCATCTGCTTGAAATGTACGCGTTTAAAAAGTAAGTGGGCTCTATAACGAGGGATAGGTTATGTTTATTTTTAAATTGAGTGTTAATTTTGATTGAATGACTAGTTACGGAATGTAAAATCTAAGGAGTTACTACTGTAGTGAGATCACAAGGATCGGGATATACACTGTGGACTTTCCGGAAAGAAACAAAGCACTCAGCTCGGCGCTGCAAATGTGCTCAATTACACTTAGCTCAGAGTGTAAGTATTATAAAAGGGAAACAAGAACCCTTCGACTTAGAGACGGATGTCTAGCTCCGCACGCTAAAGACTGAGATCAGTATTAGATTAAATGTCGATAGTCCGAGCTCAAAGCGGTGTAAGGCTGCGTATCCGGATCGGCCACTTCGCTAAATCAGTCACTGAGTATGTACCCTGCCTAACACTCGATTATTTTCTATCAGTCAGCACACGACGTTATCGCTGACGTTGTAGCTAATTCTTAAACGTTGGTTACACTATAAGTCATAACTGAAGAAATTTACTCACACTTTCTTTTAATAAACAGTTTTTTGTTGCAACTATTGTTGCTTTGAATACTAAAATCGGAATAACTTTCATAATTGCATTTTTCAGTAATATGCTGAATGTTTGGCGAGAAAAATGAGAACAAACTGGTAGTTTAATGACGACATATTGATGACATGCAGTGAAATAAATAGGAAAAAAAAATAACAAAATAAAATTAAGCAATTTATATTTTAAAACGCATACATATGTGTAAATTTTGTTTTTACATTGTAATTAGGGATGAACCGTATGCTTAACGTACTATAGAGATATTTATAATTTCTGATTTTTATAAATTTTTGCTGGAAATATGTTTAATTATTGTTTTTATTGCCATCAACATATTATTATACAACATAATATCTTTTCATATGTTCAAAATTATTGAATTTTGTATGAAAATTTGCTTAGTTTCTGTGGTTGTGTTGGGTTTTTATTGTATTAATAATTTGTTCTAAAGATATGCCACTCAAGACATTTTGGATGCATGTAATAGTAGGCCTTGAATTATCCAGGGATATTTCTTTGTAGATGAAATACCTGCATCTAGAAGAAATCTATTTGTACCTTTTTTGGTACCCATTTTCCAATGTAATTCATGTCAGTTTTTTGCGTTATTATCTAATCTTTCACATCCTCTTTTCCAAGTCACTTTTTATAATCTCCATTCATCTCTACGTAAGGTATTTGTCTAATTCTACCTGGTTTGTGCCTTGTAGAATATTTTGCGTTGCTCTAAGTTAAACAGCCACCTTGAACCACCAAGAAATAGGCGTGATTATTTCCCTTTCACTATGTTAAGCGGTGTTGCCAGCTTATTGTTGTTTTCCACTAACTTCTATTTTCATTGTGAAGATTATTTGAAATATTTTCAATTCCTTTTAAAATGTTTATCCCTAAATTGGTTTGCCTGCAATAAATACAATATACATTATTTAACTCTAATGTAAAATATATAAATTTTGTTCTTAGCTACAAACAATATTATATGACTTAAGTTAAAATATATGTATTAATAAATATTATTTATTAACTTTGTTATATATGTATTAAAATTGCATTACATAAATTAGAGAATAGATAAATAGAATATATATCTAGGTTTGTTGATACTTAAATTAGCTTCCTCTGGACAAAATTTTTAAAGAAAAATAAATTGTCATGCCTGAAAATTTCGTGTGCATATTTTTACGCCCAGTTTTCAAGGTATTTCTAGTAGCGGCAACACTGTAATTTCTGACAAATGTTTCTATCTTAATGCTATGAA